GTTGTGATCAGCCTGTGTTCCATCGAAGTCCATATTGTGACATTTTGTTTCAAAGCAAGATGTGAATGAAATATTGAAATATCTGAGGTGGTACGCAAACTATAATGTAAATTCTAAATTGAAGAAGGGACATAATTCTTTCGAAATGCTTGATAGAGTTACCTCGTCCTGTCTAAAGGTAGGGGGCATGATGGTGAACAAGTGTGCAAAGTTTCAAAGCCATATGCCAATTGACTTTGAAAATATTTGAGGTGGTACGCAAACTTTTACTTAAATTATAACTCCTTAAAGGGACATTATTCTGTCTAAATGCTTGATACAGTTACCTCCTTCTGTCTATAGATTGAGGCCATGATGGTGAACAATTGTGCAAAATTTCAAAGCCAATTGTTCATGGACTTTGAAAATATTTGAGGGATTACAAAAACTTTAACGTAAATTCTAAGTTGAAAAAGGGGCATGATACTGTCAAAATGCTTGATAGAGTAACCTCCTGTCTATAGGTTGGGATCATAATGGTGAACAAGTAGGCAAAGTTTCAAAGCCATACGTCAATGGACTTTGATAATATTTGAGGCATTACAAAAACTTTAAAATAAGTGGTTACGCCGACACCGGCGCTCTGGTGACTAGTATGGCTCTACTTGTTCTTAATGAATAGTCGGGCTAAAAATCTAATATATACAAGTTCAATCTCTGGACGCCAAATGTTTGCAAGCCCCAAATTTCTGATCAGTCATTTAAGATTGACCTCACTAATATATCGAAAAATTTAATATTTTGTGATGTTGGAAATACTGTTCTGTCAAATATTTGGAAAAGCTTATTGAAAAAAAACGAGGGATGTTTCTTAATTTTTATGGTATTTGAAACTACCATTTTCAATAAATGTACGCCCAATATTTAAAGATTATCACTTCAAAATTTTTTTGAATCCTGTGAGTTGATTTCCTTTAAATTCATACTTTAGTTTTTCAAAATTAATTTAAAAAACCCCAAATATTCAAAAAGATTGAGACTTTACTATGGTTGAAGGTTTTTTTTTATTTACTAAAAAACCATATCGTCTGCGTACATTAATAGAAAGAGCATCAAATAGTTCTCGACACTTTATTATTAGAAATTATAAATCAGCCATCATAGGAATCTCATTGGCCATTCTACACTAGTTAAAATAATATAAATGATGTTTCTGAAATGGTTTACGCGTGTAATGATTAATTGATCTAAAGGACATGAATTTTTTGAAGCTTTACATATTCTTAAACTTCTTCCACTTTCTAGTTAAGTTTTTCAGATATTTAAGCTCTTTTTAACCATTTAGACATCTATATTATGTTATTATTAGCTTAGATATTTGGTACAAAACAATGCTGGTGGACCTCTTCGAAAGTACTTTCAAAGTTAAAATGGGGGCCACGCCCCGGGAAATTACATAAAAATTATAAAATTTTCTATTTAACTTTTAAATTTTCCAAAAAAAAAATAACATTTTAATTTTTAAAATTTTAGATTCAAAAAGACGCGAATTCTTCAATTCAACAAATTTTTCAGGCTGAACTCAAAGCTCTTCCTGCGTTGAAAAATTGTTTTGAAAAAACCCTGGAACAAAATATCCTGACACAAAAAGGACGGCGATAGCCAAGTTCTTTTCGTTTTAAAAAAAGAAAAAGGGATTTAAATGAATTAAAAAGACGAAAAGGGGGAAAGGGAAAGAAAAAACCCAAAAAAGAAGCAAAATTACCTTTCTTCAAGATAAAAAATGGAAAAAAATACAAATGGATATCAGTAAATAGTTTTTTGCTTTTAATTTACTCAAAATTTTTAAGCTAGATGAGACTGGGGACACAGGGGATCCCATTAATGAACACATTGTCAAATAAAAAACATTCGAAACCGTTCCGCCCTCAAAAAATCATCTCAGCAAAAAAAAATTTGAGACACACTTAACGTTTGAAAACATCAAAGGGTTTGAAAATTTAAAATAATATCCCCAAAAAAAAAACTTAAAGGGAATTCGATGCTGAACGGGAACGCCAAATTAATTTAATAGAAATTTAAATTTCAACTTTTATGACAAAAAAAAAAAACAAAATGAGAAATGAAAAAGAGAGCAAATTTAAGAAAAAAATAATTTTAAACAAGCAGAACATACAAGGAGGGAAATTTTGGAATCTAAATATACAAAATTAAAAAAAAGGAAAACTGACTAGAAATGTCAATCAAGAATTCTTAGAAATAAAAAATCAAAAGAATACAAAATACACTTCCTAAAAATATGAAACATCCCTTTGACAGATTTTAAATCCCGCCAGAAATTAAAAAAACCGAAACAAAACAAAAATTAAACAAAATGCATTTTTATTTGAAAAGTAGTGTAGGGGAAAAAGTCCACACAGTCTAAAAAACACATAAAACGAATGCAGTTAAAGGGCATTGAATGTTAAACTATTATATTTTTTTGCGGAATTCAAGGGGATACAATGATGTTCCCAAGACCACTTTTGAAAAAAGATCACAAAGATCACGTAAATCACTTTCTGATAATCTGGAAAGACTTTATACTAAAATAAAAGAGATCCTATAATAATAGGGACTGAAATAAGAGTTTTGGGGGCAAAAAGTTATTTGAAAAAACTAAATATGGTGTGTGTCAATCTAAATAGACATGTTTTAAATTATAAAATGTTGTTTGTTTTTTGTTTTGTTTTTTTTTCAAAATATTTCATTCCCCACACACATTCAAAAGACATCAGAATGTGTTTTTGTTTTTAATTTCAAAGTCATTTTTTTTAATAAAAGTCTCACTAAAAAGTAAATATAGCCCTTGAGAGTGACGGATTGCCTTTAACGGTTGAGGTATGATAATTACAGTCACCGATTATTCCTGTGTGGTCGAAAGAGGCGACTAAATGGGTTCGAATAACTTGAGTGTATTATACATCTTTTAGCTCCAGCAGGTGCGGTGGTTTTGACACCTGGTGTTGCTTTGAAGTTTGTAACATCCGAGATTACCCAAAATCATTATTTCTGTTTCGGCATCGTATGACCTACACTGCGTTAGGTTTGCAAAACAGTGTGCTTTCCTTATTTAAATGCAAAATAATATATATATAATTAGTCTGATTGACCAAATTAGTTGGTAAACTTTGAGGATAATTCTTTTTGTAATACAAACATTCTATCAAAAGCGAAAGGTATATTCCAATTGTTTTATGTTCGACCTTCTCCGGTCTCAGGTCTTCAACGGTCACTATATATATAAAGTGACCGTTGAAGACCTGAGACCGGAGAAGGTCGAACATCTGTTTATTTTTCATTTTATCATTTTTGTTCATAACTAGAACAATCTGTTTATTTTTTTATTTCACCATTTTTGTTCATAAATAGAACAATCTGTTTATTTTTTTATTTCACCATTTTTGTTCATAACTAGAACAATCGGTTTATTTTTTCATTTCACCATTTTTGTTCATAAACAGAACAATCTGTTTATTTTTTATTTCACCATTTTCGTTCATAACTTAAGAACAGTTTGTTTATTTTTTCATTTCATCATTTTTGTTCATAACTTAAGAACAGTCTATTTATTTTTTATTTCATCACTATTATTTCATCTTTTTTTCATAACTAAAGGACACTCTGTTTGTTTTATATTTCATCATTTCTGTTCATAACTAGAACAATCTGTTTATTTTTATTTCATCATTTTTGTTCATAACTAGAACAATCTGTTTTTTTTTATTTCATCATTTTGTTCCTAACCCCAGAACAAACTTGTAATTTTTATTTTTCATTATTTTTTTTATCTTAAAAAAACAGGAAACCTACATTTTAAAAATTTGTAAATTTAGTAAATAAAATTACAAAAAATAGTACAAAAAAATGGATGTTTTAATTTCTTTTTTATTAAAATATTCAATACACATAGTCTAGTAAGAGTGATAGTTTTTGTTTCCCCAACAAATGTTAACAAATATGTCATAATGAGTGAACTAAACTCTAATATTTCAATACATCAAGAGTAATCCCATCAAATATTTAAAATATAAACTGGAAAATATAATTACAAAATTGTAACAGCAAAACAATGAATATTGTACTAAGAATAAGAATAAAATGCTTAAAGGTAAATTTTGCCTCCGGAACGATTAAAATTGTTTTTTACCAGAAAAGGGAAATGAATTTAATTTTCATTTTAAATCATAAATTTAAAAGCATGTAAAAATGCTTAAAAACCAGGAAAATGCGTTAAAAGAAAAAAATTTGCCATTAAAGTAGCAAAAAAAAAAATATATTTGCTTCCGTATAAAATAACAAATCACTATAATGTACTTATTGTCAAAAAGCAACAGAAGAAAGAAATTGTTCAGTTAATTGGAAAATGACTATCTATTTGTAAACTATAAAAGTACACCAAAATAAAAAGCTTTTGAGAATTATATAGAGGATATTTGTTTGTTTCAGTGTAAGATCGAAAAATATTTCACCGAGTGAACACCAGATGCAATATTTTCCACGAGTGGCGTAGCCACGAGTGAAAATATAATAGCTGGGGTTCACGAGTGAAATATTATTTGATCTTACATGTAAAACAAACAAATTTTCTGTTTATTTCATGATTTCTTTAACGATTTTATACCATTTTACTGATTTTTGCCGCGTAACGTCATGCTCTTATCTTCATGACGTCATCAAATAATGACTCACAATGTTGAAGCAAAAATATTAATTCCATGATTTTATTTTTAGAATTTTAGATGTTTTTTCACACACGTTCGTAAATATTTACGAACTTTAACGTTTTTCACGTACATTTTTTTATTATGATTGACTACATTTCCGCTGAAAAAAAAACATTCATTAATGATAAATATTTTATTTTTACGCCAAATATAGTTCGGCTACTGTGAAATTATATTTGGTAATCATTACTGTGAAATTATCAGAATATAATTAACCGTTATAGTTCAGTAATCTACTGCAAAACATGTAATAAAATAAAAGTATTTCTGGGTCATAATGGGCCTTTAATATTCTAAACTCAACACTTTATTTATATATGGCTGCACATCTCCAGAGGAATAAAAATCTATCTTAAGAAAAGTATTATCCTTTTATTTCATCATTTTATTACGGTATTATAAAGTACAGCATTAAATTGCTTTATTTGTACAGTAGAGACTTTCTGATTTTTTTTTATTTTATGCAAAATATGAATGAATCACCATAATGCCATCCTGTTTCCTTCTGAATAAATATTAATGTTGTACATTTTGTTTCATTTATCATTATAGATAAAAAAAATCCTTAGGCCAGATCATTATTAGGTCGGATAATTATTAGGGCAAAAAATCCTTTGGCTAGATTAAATTGCTTTATTTGTACAATAAATTTTCATTTACATTTCTGTTTTATTTTTTTTACAAAAATTAAATGAATTAGTCTGGAGGCATGCTGCTTTAACTAATTGTAAAAAAAAGTTATTATATCTATCAAATATTGGAATAACCAACCAAGGTTTCTTATTTGAAAAGTTCCTTATGGCCTAAGAATGGCTTGAATCTACGATCCTTTGATTGAAAACGTATATCTTGGCCACATAACCAAAGCCCCAATCCAATGTCTGTATATTTTCAAGATGAACATAGTCCTTTCATACCAAATAGTACTTGTTTTCAAAGATTTGAACGAAACTGACAGAGTAAAAAGATAGACTAATTTGCAAAGAAATCACAATCATGTTTCAATTTTCTTACAATGACACTTTTAGTTAAATCAGAAAAAATGCCGATTAACCAGGACTTGACAATTACATTGAATTGATGAAGACCATGATCTATTTCTGGAAAGCTGATCTCCATGTTGTGAAATATTATACCCCAATGTACTCAAAATTAAAACCAATTTTCTGAAAATTGAATTTTTTGTCTTGTAATTATAAAATGATATCAAGGGCATTATCCAAACTAACCAAACAATATATAAAATGCCTTTGAAAAAAATATAAATCATGCTATGTTTATCATGGGCAGATTAACATGATTGTTGGCATGTAACAATTAACTTCACAAAAACATAAGAAGTTTTAAAATATTTGCCCGTGTTCTGTACCACTATATTCAAAATTCGCAGTAACACATATGCATTTAAGCACTTCAAAATTAACAGCGGTTTAGAAATTTGTCTGAGTAAAAAGTTTCAACAACATAAAATATATATATCAACAACACATATGCATTTATATCTATAAATAGTAACACATATGCATTTAAATCTATAATTAGTAACAACATTTACAATATTGGGATATAAGTACTAAAATTCTATAAAATAAGCATCAACTATGATACAAAGTCCAATATTTACACAATTTTGCATAAGAAACAATATTATATACAGGTCAAGAAAGGTTTTGTTTCACAAAATCAATTCTTACAAAATTTACAGAATCACATTTTCTTCGAATGAGAAGCCCACACTTCCCTGCCCTTGTGTATTAAATTTTAAGTCACAAACTTATTGTACTTCCTAGTCTGAAATAATATTTCAAAGAACATGATCTGATTACAATTGTTTGAAAAACAAATATGCAGCCACAAAATTGTACAAAAGCAGTGAATGTAATGTCTCAAATAAACTAGAGAATCTTTAACTATAAGTATCTTTAACTATAATTATATATTGAAACAGATTTTCTTAATTACTGAATTTATCACACACAAAAATGTAAAGTAAATAAATGCATCACGCTAATTTTATGAAATTAACTGTTACACAATATTTTGATATGTTATCAACAGAAAATCACATGCTACTAGTGCTTTTTTTTCTTTATAAAACCACCCAAGTAAAAGAAAATTTTGAATGTAATACTTATTAGAAAGAATTGAAAAGGAAAGACACAGAAATAAAAACACAAAGAAATAATCAACTTCTTTTTACAAGTATATTAACACCGTTCTTACAATGCACTGTTTTATCTTTTTCCTATAATGAATTAGTACTGATTTATTTTGTAACTGTTAGCTACATTACCAATAGTTGTATCTAGGAAATGTGTAGCAAAAGGGAAGAATACATTAAACTCTTATATCAACATACTACTCAGAGTAATGCTGCTAATTTTGCTTTCATTTTAATTATTTTTATACAAATCTAAGACAAGTATAGGCTGTCACACTACAGCAACTTGAATGATTAACTTAAGATTTATTACAATAATCTACAATTCTTTCAAATTTTCTTCCAATGTCAATTTTATTCATAAACGATCATCTAAAATGATTCCATTTAAATACACTCCCCAATATAACACAGTCAATGACATTAGCTAGCCAATCACAATGCAGGACATAGCTATGTATGAGGATGAATTTTTATATGTGGACAAATTTAAGAGAGAAAAATGGTTTCAAATGCTTAAATAGAGGGATATAAAGAACTCCATAAAGAATGTCCAAAACCAGCATATTCAAAAAATGTTGATGGCCAGTAAAGTTGCAGATTTTAGACGATAAACACACAAGTGACAAGATGTACAGAATTTAAAAAAACTTTTCTCGTTGATAAATTTATCAACTACTCAAGGAGAATAAGATGATTTTAGATGCGTTGAAGTACAGATTTGATGAGTGATACACGAGGGACCAGATGTACGGAATGAAAAATTCTTCTGGCGATTCTTCCTCCACATACTTAAACTTTAGATCTGGAAATTTCTGAAATATACAAAAACAACTTTATTAATAATGGGAATAAACAGCATTTTGGGTATAAAGTCTGTATAATTGGTAAAAATCTTAATTATACAAAAACAGCTTTATTCATAATTGGAATTAACAGTTTTGGGGTGTTCAGCTATATTTAAAACTCTATAATTGGTAGATTTTTTTTTATCTATATAAAACTAATTATCAATTACATATGTATCCTCATTGAATATAAACTATAAACGATATTAACAGATTTATACTCCATCAAAAACGTTTTACGGTTAAGGTGATCAAGTGGGTATGGTGTTCTACTCTCAATATAAGAAGTGTTGTTTTTTTAGGTCATGATCACTTTTCCTAATATGACACCAGGCTTCAAGGTTATAAAACTTTTTCCAATGTAGTCTCAAATCTCAATATCTCAATATCTTCATTGGACAGTAAGCTGGTTTCTGACCAAACATATACCAGAGAACTTTGAGAATTTCTTTATAACCTCAGGGCTATATCTATTTGTAGAAATCAGCATCAATAGTGGTTCAAATTGCCTTCAAGCTTTCTTCATAATTCAATCTTAGATAAAGTCGGAAATATATAAATTAATATTTTTATTTCTAACAAGACTTTTACAAACCTTTAGGCGATCCCTCCTAAACTGCAGTGAACCTTGTTTTATCACTTCTAACACTTCTGTGGGCATTGGGTTTCCACCCATTTGTTCAAGCTTGCCTGAGAAATAGGCTAACACAGTATCAATGTTTGAAATAATGTCCTGAAATGTTGGATGAGTCCGAAACATGGCAAAAGAGTCTTTCTGATAGAGTAACGTGTATACAAGATTTGGGTTGTGATGAAGGTTTGCGGACAAACAAGAGTTTATGATTTCTAACACCATACGGATCACTTCCTCTAATACTGCTAGATCCTGCATCTGTGAAAATAATGACATATGATTAAGTTAATTAACTGACATCAATGGATATCTTTTGTTATAAATGTGTAAATATACATGTTTATCAAAGACCTGTTTGTAACTATGCTATTTTGGCAGGTCTTTTAATCATTGTATTGAAAAGTCATTTGACAGCTTAAGCTCAGGTACCCCCCTGTCCTTCCCCAACCCCCCCCCCCCCCCCTTTCTACACACATCTTCCATTACTTCATGCATAAACACTACTTAAAGAAAACTTTCCTTACACTATCTAGGTTTCTTCCTCAATCAAAAGAATTTAGAATCTCTATTAATTAATTTATACAAATATTTTTTTTTTAGTTTGATTGTGATGGAAGCTATAAGCTTAATGAAACACTCACGAATTCATTCCTGGTATCAACCAGTACTAAGCAATGAATGTAAAGTTTCTTGCTCAAGGAAACAACAGCTTGCCCCTGTCTGGGTTTGAACCCATGCAGTCCGCAATCCTTAAATTACTAATCTGATGCATTAACCACTCGGCCACATTGCCACTCTATTAGGATTCAAACCCACAGTGATGAGTCAGTTACCTCAATCATTCAATCATGGAGACCAAATCAATAAATGAGCCGCGTCATGACAAAACCAACACAATGGGTTTGTGACCAGCATGGATCAACACCAGCCTGCGCTTCTGCGCAGTCTGATCAGGATCCATGCTGTTTGCTTACCAACTCTATTACAAGTAGAGATACTGATAGCGAAAAGCATGGATCCTGATCAGACTGGGCGGATGTTGGTTTTGTCGTGACGCAGCTCATATTAGTCTTACAGAATCATTACAAATCATAGGAATTCTGTACATACATAATCTTCCTGCGTTTCCTCGTCGGAGTCGTCTGGTGTTTTCTCAGCAGATTGATGACTTTTCATGGCTGCCTGACGTATCTGATCAACTAACTTTGTATGTTTCTTACACAGCTGTGCAAACAAACTGAAACATTTCCAGTGCAATATATCATGTAAAGTTTATATTTCCAACACACATCACACCATTATTACTAATACACGAACCGGGCAGTTCAGTGAAATTTTATAGTACACGATATATGCACAGTATAAAAAAGGAATGGTAATACATGTTGAATAAATTTTTTTAGTGCACGAAATATGCATAGCATAAAAAAGGAATACTTATATATCATATGACATCAATAAACCATGGCATTAGGACGCCAGTTCTTTGCTCAATGTAGTTCATAATACTTTTATCTTTTTTTACCAGCATGAGATATTAATTTTATCTTGCTTTGTTATGTATTTATACATGGTTTAATGGTTATACGCCTTATAATTATCATACACAGTGACTCCTACCAGCTTGTGCAAATAATTTTTTTTCATTTCTAATAATATGTTTGTGTTCAAGATGGGAAGTAACGATACCTGCACAATTACCTGTACACTGACAATGGACAGATGAAACTTAAGAAATAATTACATTTATACTATGAGGATTACATTTATACTAGTATGAGGATTACATTTATACTATGAGGGTAAAGCTTTCAGAAATACCTGACTAGTCTCTGTGAAACATATTGGTGAAGATTTGTGAACTGTGAGGACATATTAGCCAATGCTGCCAAACAGTTGGTGTGTAAATACTTGTCCTGAAAAGCGATTCAGACACTCTGTCCTTACTATGTCATAAATCAAACACTCTGCCCTTACTATGTAATAAATCAAACACTCTGCCATTACTATGTCATAAATTAAACACTCTGCCATTACTATGTCATAAATCAAACACTCTGCCATTACTATGTCATAAATTAAACACTCTGCCATTACTATGTCATACATCAAACACTATACTATGTCATACATCAAACATTATGTCATAAATCAAACACTGCCCTTACTATGTCAGAACACTCTGTCCTAACTTTGTAATAAATCAAACACCCTACCCTTACAATGTCATAAATCATGCAATTTTCTGGTATTGGTTAAAATAAACAGAAACTTTAAAGCATAATGAAATCGTCTGTATAAAGATTAGAACAACAAATTTGATTTTTATCAGTTTCAGTTTAATCAATCTCACTTGTTACATACTTATATTGAGAAATATTCAAGAAATAAAATGAAAATTTCATTATTTTACATATTCTCATTGTAAAAACTTAAGTGTTCTTACTAGTGGGGTAATATAAGTATTTTTTCATATTTCTTATTCACTCTCTTAGTAAGAGATACAATGTATATGGCCAAATTACATCTGGGGATAATGAAAACATATTTTGGGGATGTGTATATTACAGGACACTGTCAGCAACAGATAACTTACCCTCATTCTTGTAATATTGAACTGTATAGTTCTGATCACCACTAAAATCAGAAGTCCACCTAGTGAAATCTCTGACATCGATCTCTCTTTAAACCATGGTACATTCTTTAATGCCTGAATTAATACAAATTTTAACAAAAATGCAAATCTTTACCTTTAAAACTGCTAAACTAAAACAAGATTAGCTTTTGCCATCAATATATAGCCAGGCCAGTCTGCATATCACAGTCTTACCACACTCTATACTAGTGTTAGCTTAATTTTTGCACTTTGATATTGAAATTCCTTAAATATTGCAATGACTGTTCCAAATAGGAAAGTATAGCAAATCCATTACATTAATTCAGCAGATTTTGAGCTAAATTAAAATGTATTCCAGTAATTAAAATCATTGCGAAAAATAAAATTTCAAGGAACTTCATTTTACTTTAAAAGTGTACCTAGCACATTTTTTTTGCAAAGTTTTACTTCGCACCGACAGCACATTTTTTTTTTTATGGTTAAGTTTTACATCACCAACACATTAGATGTCATTTTGCAACTTTTAAGCTTAACTGGCAAGGAATACCTCAGGTGCCATTCCTTGCATGACATTAGTCATCTGAGTAGAACCATGGATGTTCCATATATGCAAGCTGGATAGCTTTTTCATATTGAAGAACCCTTAGTCTCTTATGGGATTCCAACTAACAGCGGCAAGGGGCAAGTGGTTTGAAGTTAATAATCTTAACCATTCAGAATAGAAACTGGCTTTTAAATCAATTTATGAGAAGCTAGAATAAAGTTTAATCACATGGTTATTTGAGATTTACAATACTACACAAAGAAGAAACTTACAACTTCATGTACGGCTTTATTAAATACATCATCTTCGGACAAGACCAGTAGTATAATCAGAGCCATATATATATGGTGAGAATTCTTATCCTGTGCATGGTATAAAATCTTTAGTAATGGCATCACCTGAAAACACAAAATTTCCCAAAATCAATTACATGTATTTCGTCATAAGACAGTAGCTCCAGAATTACTTCAAGGGCCAGTAACTCCTTATTTTCTTCTTTAAAGGGCAGTAACTGTTTAATAATTGCATTATGAAGCTAGAAGGCAGTCACTCATTAATGTTGAATCATTCTGCACTAGCTAAGGTAATGGCAATCTAATGACATATTGTAGATGTTCAGTCTGATCAGGGGCAGTAACTCCTACACATTTTAAGACCACAAATTATGTAAAAAATATCTCATCTCACAGCTCATACTAATTCAAAGAAAGTTAGAAAGTTAAGAGAGTTACTTTCATTAAGCAACACAAATCCAATAGACTACACAAATCTTTTTCTTTCTTTATTACCTTAAGAAAAATATCATATGTGACACTATGCATGCAATTTGTAATCTCTGACAGAATTTGCTATTTGATTCACCATAATTCTATCCTAATCCAGTTAAAGAATAAGGGCAATTTCTGGATTAAAAAAAAAAATTTCAGGTATATTTATTCCTGTGACTATTAAATCCTCATGGCTAATATGAATTATTGGACTTCTACACTAGACTATTATTATTATTTTCTTTTAATGGTAACAGTTAACTTTTGTTTAATTTTTCATTAAAAACCAGCACCAATCTGGTGACATGTTCCTGTAAAGTTAAACATTCAGGTAAGATATAAAGGTTTCTTACCAACTGGTCAATATTTGTCCGTGACAATATGAAAGCTTTCATGTTAGGATTTCTGTGTATAAGAAGATAAAGTAATAATGTTGTCTGATCATCGCGGAGTGTCGTACACAATGTTTTATATAGTTCCATGAAGTCCATCTTGAACGTTATCTGAGCTACAGGGGTAGGTCCCGAAGATTGGTCTGAAAAAATATATATTATATTGATTTTTTTATTTAATCCTCCAAAATTTGTGATAATAATTGTCTGGGATAATCAGTATCAACTCAATAAATAGTAGCTGCAATAAAATCTTGCCAAAGCAACCAGTCTTAAAGGCTATCCTACACATCTGTACAGGCAAACCAAACTGTAAAGACAATTACCTGTTAATATTCAGAAATTTCCCTCAAATTAACAATGGACAGATTAAAGGTCAAATCAGAACAAATCCACTTCACAAGTTTAGTAGGACAGGGTCCATCCGTCAAAATTTTGGTTTGATTAGGTTTTATGTAGCAGAAAAACTGTGTAAAGTTCATATAACAATTTTCCAGCTTTCTGCTAGTAGCGTATTTCAGGCCAATAGGTAGCTAAGAAGAACCACTGACCTATAAGCTAGTTTATTACATCTGTTAATGAAAGAGCTAAAACAATACTGTAGAAACTTATTCAATGATAGGACAAATATCTTGTTTTTCCAAAATACAACAAAAAGAAATACAGTACAACTTCTGCACAGGAACACCCTCTGTGAGACCCAGATTTTGCTTGTTGATGAGAGGTGCTGCTTTAAAGAGGTTAATTAAATTGAGAGGTTGAATATATTGAGAGGTAAACTAATTTTAGAGTTTAAGATTATTGAGAGGTTAAATATATTGAGAGGTTAAATATATTGAGATGTTAAATAATTTGAGAGGTTAAGTTTACTGAGAGGTTGAATTTATTGAGAGGTTAATTATACTGAAAGGTTATATATATTTGAGAGGTTACTTTAATTGAGAGGTTAACTATTTTGAGAGGTGCTACTTGATGTGTGTACAAGTATTTAGAGGTTAAATATATTGAGGGTTAAATATAATGAAAGGTTAAATATATTGAGAAGTTAAATTTATTGTGAAGTTTTACTTTTGGATGATTTAGTACTGTTGCTGCACAGAGGTTATTGCTCTACAGGGGTTTTTATGCAGAGGTTGTACTGTGTTTCTTATTTGTTGCAAACTTGAAAGGATAATAGCTTTCCATAGCCATCTATCCTAATTTGCTATATTATGATTTGTTAATAAAAATAAAGGATTTATAGGCATTTTGTTTATGTTGTTTTTTTCTATTTCAGTAAAAATATAAAATATCTGCTTAAAGTACACTTCATTAGTAAGTTAATGCACATAATGTAATTCACTATCTACAGATACTTTAACCCATGTTTAAGGCTGAAATGAAAATTAATGGAAACTGAGAAAATAAAACTCATGTCTTACTAGGAAAATGAAATACAAGAAAAAGTAACAAAAGTTTTATATGATCATACATTCGCAGTAAAATCAATTCAACCCACAACAATAAAACTTAAACTATTTCCAAAAACTTAAACTATTTCCCATCAAATATATACTTTTAACCTTATTTACTATGCTTAAATAAAATTTAAAATACAACATGCTTACCACGTATAAATTTTTTCAAAAGGGTAGTAATATACACCTAAAAGTCTATATGGTGAAAGAGGGGGGAGGTGGGGAGCAAGGAAAGAATTCATTTGAGTGCGAATTGAATTTGTTGAATGCTAGTGGTCATAAAGTAAGACCTATGCTACAAGTATAGAGTCAAGTGAGCTAGTATATCTCATAATCTGCACAGTCCGGTCAGCCTCTCAATACAGATGGCCGCTCAAATTAAGATTTTTGATACCAACACCCCTTAATATAACAACAGACAATTCCAAATTCAAATCAGGCCAAGTCCATTTTATGCATGTAGCTTAATATTTCAAAATTCTTCAGAAAAAGGTACTAAACTGATGACAAAATGTTTATCTTTGGGTTAAACAAATGTTCAGAGGCGGTTCATCAAAGGACTGTCTATAAGAAACAAAAAAACTAAAATACTGAAAATTTAACTCAGTGTAAAAGTGAGATGGTGCTAGATAAACAGTTGAACTCATCATTATTTCACATAAACAGACTATGTTTAAGATAAACAGTTGAACTCATCATTATTTCACATAAACAGACTATGTTTAAGATAAACAGTTGAACTCATCATTATTTCACATAAACAGACTATGTTTAATTGCATTTGAAATTTTCCATTCAGTAATGTTTGTTGTTGTTTTTTTTGTAATATCCTCTTAATGGCAGACCTATCAAATATACCATTATTTAACATACACATTTTGTGACCAATGGGTTACATACAAAGCTACTTACTGTCCTCATCTGGATCTAGTAATAATATAATTTCATCTTAAATTTTGTCTTACAATTTTCAATAACATTCTATAACAAACCAGTGAGATATCAACTATATCACACAGTTTTAAGACTTTGATGAAATGTTTAAAATATATATCATATTGCATCGTCTTATAATCTTTGATGAGATACTAAAAATACACAAGTGATGAAATATACATCATATCACATTGTTTTATAATTTTTGATGAGATACTAAAAATACACCAGTGAAATATAAGTCATATCACATAGTTTGGAAAAATGCAAGTAATAATTTTGTTTCCTATTCTATACCTACAAAGATATTTGAAAAATTAACCTCATTTAGTGCCTCTGTTTGGTAATTTCCCATTAGTTTTAATGCAAAATCTATAGAATTTATTACCAGATAAAAAAAACAACAAAAAACATGAATTGTGTTTCTTTTGAGTAAATATTGACTATATTTTACGTCAAAGTGATTGTTTTTATGATATACTCTTGAAAATATCTAACAAGAGCGATCAGTAATCACATGTGTCGCCTCATGATGGCCAATTTCATGTTGGGACAATTTTTGTGACAGACAGACGGACAGTGCACAACTAGACTTGGTACTGATCATTCCTGTAAAGTTTGGATAAAATTGCACCAGTAGTTTATGAGGAGTAGTCCGGACAAGCTTTTGCGTATCTGGCAACACACAGAAAAAAAACACCTTTTTATCAAAGGGCCATAACTCGGCCAAAAATCATTCAACCGGAAAACCCATGCAATATGCGCAAAAACTTGAGCTACAGATCAATCCTGTAAAGTTTCATTGAAATTGCATGAGTGGTATAAGAGAAATAGTCCGGACAAACTTTAAAAATAAAAATTATTAAAGGGCCATAACTCTGACAAAAATCATTGAACCGGAAAATGCTGACAATATGCACAACTAGACTTGGTACTGATCATTCCTGTAAAGTTTGGATGAAATTGCACCAGTAGTTTATGAGGAGTAGTCCGGACAAGCTTTTGTGTATCTGGCATTACACAAAAAAAGAAACACCTATTTATCAAAGGGCCATAACTCGGCCAAAAATCCTTCAACCGGAAAACCCGTGTAATATGTACATATACTTGAGCTACCGATGAATCTTGTAAAGTTTAATTAAAATTGCATGAGTGGTATAAGAGGAGTAGTCCGGACAAATTTTAAAAATAAAAATTATTAAAGGGCCATAACTCTGACAAAAATCATTGAACCAGAAAATGCTGACAATATGCACAACTAGACTTGGTACTGATCATTCCTGTAAAGTTTGGATGAAATTGCACCAGTAGTTTATGAGGAGTAGTCCGGACAAGCTTTTGTGTATCTGGCAACACACAGACAAAGGAACCTTTTTATCAAAGGGCCATAACTCGGCCAAAAATCATTCAACCGGAAAACCCGTGCAATATGCGCAAGGACTTGAGCTACAGATCAATCCTGTAAAGTTTCATTGAAATTGCATTAGTGGTATAAGAGAAGTAGTCCGGACAAACTTTAAAATTAAAAATTATTAAAGGGCCATAACTCTGACAAAAATCATTGAACCGGAAAATGCTGACAATATGCACAACTAGACTTGGTACTGATCATTCCTGTAAAGTTTGGATGAAATTGCACCAGTAGTTTATGAGGAGTAGTCCGGACAAGTTTTGTGACGGACGGACAGACAGACAGACAGACAGACGGACAGACAGACGACGGAGAAGTGATCCCTATATGTCGCCACTACTCCGTAGAGGCGACACAAAAATCACCATTTTTCAGTGAAAAATATTCCATATTCACTCTATTTTAAATAATTCTATAGAAACTTTATATAAAGAAAAAATTCTCACTACCTGAAACCTTCAACATGAAGATCTACATAGTATATTTACCTTGTGAATTAGTGAACTGGAACAAAGCTTGTCTATATGGATTATTTAAAGCCCTGTCGCTGGTGCAGTGATTGGCTAACACCAACAAAAATAACAGACTCTGATTGGCTAATAAAGTCTCATTAAATTCTTCTTCCGGTTTTTTCTCGTTGGATGAGGAGCCAATACCTAGAGTTACCACTGACCATAGACTTGCTGAAATTATAATTGATCAGTAAAGCAATGAGAAAAGCTAGCATAAATGTTAGTCATATATTCTAGTAATATCAGATAATCTTCTGAGTAAAAAAAAGGGCTTGAAATGTGCATTATTTCAAAACAGCAGACTTGCTATCTTTAAGTTAGAATGCCTATGTTTCCAATTCATCCCAGATATTTAAACTAATTACTGAGCTATAAATTCAAATTTTCTTGATGTAAAATATATTTCAATTACGAAATAGAATTTCATACATTAGAATAATAACAGGAAATATATAATTTTTGGGGGTTTAAATTAAAGATTGCACCAACACAGTATAGGTCATATTCCAGCTTTCCTGGAGGAGATAGACCTCCTGTGGCCTTCTTTACATTATTTCTGGCACAAACAGGCACCTGAGTAGAACCACTGACATTCCGTAAGCTAGCTGGAGAGCTTTCTCTCACGAAAAGAGTCCAAAGATGCTTGCATGTCTCAAACCTACAGCAGTATGAGGCAAGAGGTTTGAAGTCAATGACTTAAACCACTCCGCCACAGTCACCTCTCAGGATACATATGATATTAAGAACCAAATTATACACCACTAAGTGTTAGTCTTTTTCTTTCCAGCACAAGAGGTGTAAAATTCACAAGTTAATCTTAGCATTAATACTGATCTTTAAGTTTCCTGAACTTGTTTACCCTGGATAAAATTTGGAAGAGAGTTTTTGTTTCTGATCGATACCAGCTAGGCTTAATATCCTTCAGTTTTCTATGATAATAAATCATCAATGAGACACTATATATATGATAATAAATTATCATTGATACACTATCTTAACTTACAAGCTAATGATGCAGTCATGCTTGCCAATGCCCCTACACCATCTGTCGTATTCTTATACAATTCACTTGGACATTTCTCTTGGTTAACATAGTTTCTCAACAATGACTTCACCATTAAACATGCATGGATAGAACTGTAAATGAAAAACATAACTCCTAGGTGAGATTCTTTCAAATTAACAAAATAATATTCAGCGATACAATTACAAAGCAGCAACTGATAAATTTTTTTACAGTAAAAATTGTAAAACCATAACAAAGTGTTACTCTGATGCTTGAGTGAGTAGAATAGCCCAACTGTTATTCAAACAATCCAGCTCAAGAATGTCAATGGATTTTAGTTTTGGAAGTCAATAAGTTATCCACAGGAACACTAATTCCATGATACATAAAAACACTTGATTTACATGTCAGACTAGTTATCTAATAATTGCTAGCTGTGAGGGGCAAGCAGCTTTTCCTTGAGCAAAAAACTTCACACTTAAAACTTACTACTGGTTGGTTCAAGGAACAGATTCGAGAATGTGTCTAAAAGCTTATAGCTTGCTACACACAAACTAACATAAATTCTGTTTAAACAACTAACAAATTCATCTTTTATCTGGTATAAAATTAATGCTACATGTAAAACAAAAAGAATCTTACCATTTGCCTTCCATCATGTATTTATATAGTGTAAATTTACTGGCAGGTTGTGGCTGGTACATCTGAACAGAGAGGAGGGTTAGTAAAGTATTCAATGCTTCCAGGTGTAGAGCATATGTGAACGTCCTGAAACAGATTACAACCTTTACAATTATATGTCAAAAACTATCCTTTACAATCATATGTCAAGAACTATCCTTTAAATTATATGTCAAGAACTATCCTTTAAATTATATGTCAAGAACTATCCTTTACAACTATCCTTTACAATCATATGTCAAGAGCTATCCTTTACAATAATAAGTCAAGACCTATGCTTTACAATCATACATCAAAAACTATCCTTTACAATTATAGTATTAGGTTTTTTAATTACAAAATATTAATGAAAATTAAGCAGGTAACAGTATGGAGCCAGGTCAGATGGCATGAATGTGCAAGATGGTCTGGTAATATTACAGTACAACCACCCTATAGAAAGCCCAACACGGTAAAATTGAAAATGTTGCAGTCTCCGTTTGATTGAGCCTGTTCATGGACAGTACTGTCAAGTGCAAACTACCGTCCATACCCCCTAGCATGGGCTTAAGCAGAAAAATTTAGAATTTTGAAACATCCGCAGATGTGATCATATGGCAGTTACACCTTTTTAGACAGAAAATGTTGGATGTTGCCCTAGAGGGGTTTAATTTACTGTGGGAAAAATTTGATACTGTTGTTGTCCTACAAAGGGCCACTCTGTGTAGGCTATACATTAAAATAAATCGTTATCACTGTAGTGAAAGCTGTAAAAGCAATATACTTACAACACGGGGACGTCAACAATAAGTTCTACCAATGCATTCATCAGCTCCTCACCAACTGAACATGTCAGCTCACAACAAGAGGAACCTGATAATAAAAAAACTAATGTATAGGTTGATTGTAAATTAAATCTTGCAAATTTCAATATGCATTTTTATATCTTAAGTATTATAAATGACTCTGGTGTACTCATTTTTAAGTCTGTTTGAGGAGGATAGAGAAACAAACAAAAATTTATTGATTGCTGGACTGGAAGAGGCCAATGCCTTTCTATTGACGTTTCAAATAATTGTTATTTTAAATGTCAGTGTAGCTGGTTAAAATTTCATTCCAGATGAACTTTTATTCCTTGTTATGCATGCCCATACTTCTGATACAAGATCAAATATCTCATTTTGCGCTATAATGTACATTGTATGAATAAACGACATTTCAATAAAACTGGAAAATAGTGTATATGTTTTTTATCAGATTAAATAATTATTACCATCTTTCTGTGGAGACAGGGCCTCAAACTGTTGTATGAGAAGGTCCTCACTAAGATGTTCCACAAGGTATTTACACACACTTCGTATGATAAACAATGCATTATACGTCTGCCATGTGAAAATGTTACTGGAAAGAAATGCAAGAAAAATCACAATAACAATGTCTGTGCAGAAAATATTTATTGAAATCATACACATAGCTCTACATGTATCTCGGTTCGTTTCATCATATTTTCATTTATCTTAACACATGGACAGTCATCCCCTTTGAAATATATCCAAAGAGTAAAAATAAAACAACAGTTGTTTCACAAAACTACAAAGAAATGACGTTACTCCTGAACTCACAAATGAGTAGAACTGGCAGAGATTTTTCCTAAGAGTTCACCTTTTCATCATGATGTAGACCTGTACAACCGTTACCTACTGGAACCAAATGTGATTAGCCTTTTCCACCAGAATAAAGCCTGGCCTACAGTCTGACCACACCCTATACTGTTGGTACCACACTCTTTACTGTTGGTACCACACTCTTTACTGTTGGTACCACACTCTATACTGTTGGTACCACACACTATACTGTTGGTACCACACTCTTTACTGTTGGTACCACACTCTTTACTGTTGGTACCACACTCTATACTGTTGTACACACTCTTTACTGTTGGTTCCACACTCTTTACTGTTGGTACCACTCTCTATACTGTTGGTACCACACACTATACTGTTGGTATCACACTCTTTACTGTTGGTACCACACTCTTTACTGTTGGTACCACACTCTATACTATTGGTACCACACTCTTTACTGTTGGTTCCACACTCTTTACTGTTGGTACCACACTCTATACTGTTGGTTCCACACTCTTTACTGTTGGTACCACACTCTATACTGTTGGTACCACACTCTTTACTGTTGGTACCACACTCTTTACTGTTGGTACCACACTCTTTACTGTTGGTACCACACTCTTTACGGTTGGTACCTTAATTTTTGTATGTTGGTATTTAAATCCCTTTTATTTTGAAATGGTCCAAAATTCAAAACAGGACAACTTTCACACTAATACAGCAGATCAAGATTTGAATATAAAGCAATCATTTAGACTTACTCTTTGGTTTCTGTGGAAGCTTTAAGCTCGGTACATCTGATGAGGAACGCCCTGATCAGGGAACCAAAGTTTCCCGTCTTACAGTTGTTTATTGCCAGATTCTTACATGTTAAAGCTGTGGATTCTTCCAACAGTTTACCATCAGAACTACAAGAATACAAAATAAATACTTTTATTATATAAAAGTAAATTTAATCTCTAAAATATATGCTAATCATGAAGTGCTAAAAATAAATATTATCCCTAAAATATATGCAAATCATGAAGTGCTAAAAATAAATTTTATCCCTAAACTAGAACTATCACTAAATGTGATTAATACCCCCACAAGTCTGCTTCGGAAATGAGGATGTTACTAGTAACAGAATACCTTGTAAAAGAATTGAAACATAGAGTTATGGTTGTGGGCAATTAAAGATAATTGTGGTTTATGTATGTTGCATTTCCTTTCAATGTGGTTGGCCATTGATGAAGTTTAATTGAATTACTCTGTAATAAGTCCAGAAAGACAAAGAAAAAGAACAAAGGGCAATAACTCTATAAATACTGAAGATAAAGTTATAGTTCTTGTGCACTGCACTTCCTCTTATTGTGCTTGACCATTGTATGAAGTTGTTTTGAATTACAACCAGTACGTTTTAAGTTATGCTTCGGACAAAAGAAAGCAATGGAAAAGTAACAAAGGGCAATAACTCTGTAATTAGTCAAGATGGAGTTATGGTTCTTGTGCACTGCACTTCCCCTTATTGTGCTTGACCATTGTATGAAGTTGTTTTGAATTCCAACCAGTAGTTTTAAAGCCATGCTCTGGACAAGGAAAAGAAACAAAGGGCAGTAACTCTGTAATAAGTCAAAATGGAGTTATGGTTCTTATGCACTGCACTTCCTCTCAATGTGCTGGACCATTGTATGAAGTTATAATGAATTCCAACAATTAGTCTTCAAGTTATGGTCCGGACAAAAGAAAGCAATGGAAAAGAAATAAAGGGCAATAACTCTGTAATTTCTTTAGATAGAGTTATGGTTCTTGTGCACTGCACTTCCCCTTATTGTGTTTGACAATTGTATGAAGTTGTTTTGAATTCCAACCAGTAGTTTTCAAGTTATGCCACGGACAAGGAAAAGTAACAAAGGGCAATAACTCTGTAATTAGTCAAGATAGAGTTATGTTTCTTATGCACTGCACTTCCTCTCAATGTGCTTGACCATTGTATGTAGTTATATTGAATTCCAACCATTAGTCTTCAAGTTATGCTCCGGACAAAAAAAAAGAAGGCAATTGAAAAGCAACAAAGGGCAATAACTCTGTAACTACTTTAGATAGAGTTATGGTTCTTGTGCACTGCACTTCCCCTTATTGTGTTTGACAATTGTATGAAGTTGTTTTGAATTCCAACCAGTAGTTTTCAAGTTATGCCACGGACAAGGAAAAGTAACAAAGGGCAATAACTCTGTAATTAGTCAAGATAGAGTTATGTTTCTTATATACTGCACTTCCTCTCAATGTGCTTGACCATTGTATGTAGTTATATTGAATTCCAACCATTAGTCTTCAAGTTATGCTCCGGACAAAAAAAAGAAGGCAATTGAAAAGCAACAAAGGGCAATAACTCTGTAATTACTTTAGATAGAGTTATGGTTCTTGTGCATTGCACTTCCCCTTATTGTGTTTGACAATTGTATGAAGTTGTTTTGAATTCCAACCAGTAGTTTTCGAGTTATGCCACGGACAAGGAAAAGTTACAACGGGCAATAACTCTGTAATGAGTCAAGATAGAGTTATGTTTCTTACGCACTGCACTTCCTCTCAATGTGCTTGACCATTGTATGTAGTTATATTGAATTCCAACCATTAGTCTTCAAGTTATGCTCCGGACAAGGAAAATGCAACGAACAAAAAAAAAGCAATGGAAAAGCAACAAAGGGCAATAACTCTGTAATTACTTTAGATAGAGTTATGGTTCTTGGGCACTGCACTTCCCCTTATTGTGTTTGACAATTGTATGAAGTTGTTTTGAATTCCAACCAGTAGTTTTCAAGTTATGCCCCGGACAAGGAAAAGTAACAAAGGGCAATAACTCTGTAATTAGTCAAGATAGAGTTATGGTTCTTGTGCACTGCACTTCCTCTCAATGTGCTTGACCATTGTATGTAGTTATATTGAATTCCAACCATTAGTTTTCAAGTTATGCTCCGGACAAGGAAAATGCAACGGACGTCTGGACCGACCGACCGACCAACCGACCGACCACCGGGTGACTCCTATATACCCCCCCAAACTTCGTTTTTGGGGGTATAAATATATGCAAATCATGAAGCGCTAATATGATTCAGCAGAATAGAAAAACCTGTATTATGTTAATGACAAATACAGTACTATATGTGTAAGTACTGAACTAATTGTTCTTGTTTGTTCCCATTTTAGCTGTGTATTACATAGCATTTGAAAAATGGACCAGGACTACTTAGGGTGAAGTCTATTTTGAAAAAATTACATATTCATCTGTCATTAATGAATTTTATTTCTTTATTTTGATATGCTGAAATCGTTGAACAGGCTGCTACAAATTCAAAGCAGGGTTTGATCCAATTTCACAATCAGGTTTCATGGTCCACCTGACATACAAATACAGGGTCACAGGCTTGACCTTCAGCTTCTACAACTTAAACTACTAACTTACAAAAATAAAAACATATATACTTAAGCCGCAACACGACAAAACCAACGTAATGCGTTTTCGACCAGCATGGATCCAGACCAGCCTGCGCATCAACGCAGTCTGATCAGGATTCATGCTGTTCGCTTACCAACCCTATTACAAGTAGAGAAACTGATAGCAAACAGCATGGATCCTAATCAGACTGTGCGAATGCACAGGCTGGTCTGGATCCATGCTGGTCGCAAACCCATAACGTTGGTTTTGTCATGACGCGGCTCAATTATTATAAAATAGAGAACTTACCTATTTATAGGTATAAGGAAAGTGTATGACAACAGCTGGTTCCAGAATGGATCTTGAGGTGAAATGGACTCGGAACCGGCAAATCTGATCAGATATGGATTGGTGGCTAAATCACTGAAACTGCTACTGTTAGCCCCCATCTACAAGATAAAATGAACAATGTATTAAAACAAAATAAAATACAGATTTAAGTAATTTTTATAATGAAATCATTAGGTTCCGTTGTTTTAGCAACTTTAGATAATATGATCATTTTATACTTGTCACAATATGCACTATTATAGGCACAGGCTCACCTATTGTGCTTTTAATAAATTTCTAAGACAAGTTGTCATGGTAATCAATTTATACAAATCTCCGAAGCGATTTAAAATCAATTTAATTTAATATGGTTGGACAAAGTAGATATCACATTTAAAAGATAACATTAATTTTTTTTAGGTCAGTGATAAAAATCTAGAAATACAATGTTAAACTGGACATACAAAAACAAACAATTTACATATTTGTTTGTTTGTTTGTTTCATTTTACGCCTTTTCCCAACAGTATTTCAGTCATATAGGCGGGTAGTTTCCTAACCATCGTTCCTGGAGAGTTACACCAGTACTAGACTACCTTCCTCTGAGCTAAACTACCAAAGCATCTCCCGGGGATCGAACCCACGCCAGAGAGGTAACTGGATTAGAAGTCATCGACTCTAACCCCTCAACCACAGAGGCTGTAACAATTTACATATGTATATACTGAAGTCAAAATTTTCATGGACAGAACACTTTACAAGACTTGGACCCCTATGATCAATTTTGGGTAGAGCTGTCATTGATAGTAACAATATTGATGTATTGCTGACATTTTTTTGTTGACCAATAATTCATACACATTTTAAAAAAATCTATAATTTTTACTTATCAATAAAATGTCTAGAAGTTATGACAATTCACCCAAAACATGTACAGAAGCAGATGTCCATGTCTAAAACTATGCTGTTCCAAACGGACATAAATTTCAAAGCAGTGATGAGAAAAAAATCATGTTTTCTGTATTTGTATTTATAAACAAGCCAAGTCATAATAATTAAATTTCATGAACAAATAAATATATTTTACTGAAATAATTTAAATAGGCACGAAAATCCAGAGATCAAAAATTCCACTTGTCCGCTGGTAATTACAAGGAGAATTAAAGAGAACTTGATGCAGGATGAATAGAAAAATGTTGTCTGCACATTGGATTTAGAAGCTTCTCGTCCCGCAGGACAAGTGACTCTGAAAAAAATTTCAATGACTGTCAGAATTATAGACAAGACAGGACTTTAAGTAATTATACATAGTATATATATATATAATATTTTATTGTTAATATATTGGTGTATCATCAATATTTGGTTTTAACATATTATTTTTGTCACATAAGAAAATATTTAAATAAATTACATTTACAACAAGCAATACTAAAAAGGATTAGACGGGAAGCAACTTAATTTAATAGTGAGGTTGAAGAGCAGGCCCGAAGAGAGCTTTACAGTAACGCAAGACAAGTACCTGCTAGATAATGATGGTTTTAAAAACTTTTGCCAGAAGTACTACAAAATTATGGGAAATTGACACATCACAACTTTTCGAATTACAAGAAAACAATAAAAGCCGAGGAATTCTGATTGAAAACATATGCGTTGACTAGTCTGCTACGCACTTCTATGAGAACAATAATAGGACAGGGAACCAGAATAAATAAAATACTGAATGGCAGTTTTATTAAAACGAAAATGTAAAATATGGTGTAGAGTGAATTGCAGGGCCGAAAGTGTGCAGTTCTAAGTGTTTTGAAAACATAAAATGTGTTAAATTATACTATAATTCCTGTCAAAGAGCTGGCTTTGAGGCTTTGCCTTACTGATATTGGGTCTCACTAAAAAGCGTCCCGAAGAAATTTAGCGTCCTGAAGCGTCCCGAAGCATTATTGTTAATTTAAACAGTCAGAAGGGTTATATTTATTGTAAATAATGTCTATTATTATGTATTGAGGTATTTGTGGTAGAAAAAAGTAATCTTACTTATCTTTTTTTTTCTATTTATATAAAAAACTAACATACCTTCGACTCCAGTTCACTTGCTCAAAAACCACCGTATACCGACAAAGCGTTTTATCTAAACCAAAATTATTTTGAAATACTTCGTAATTTTAGTTAATGAAATAGTAATGTAAGTAACAATAGCGAGAAACAAGAGCTGTCCGTAAGACAGCGCGCTCGACTTTTTTATTGCTTGCCAATAAAAAAAGTTTTTGCAGTAAAAGGCAATACAAGAATCTCTGTATTTTTAAAGTGAACTAGTTGTTTGATACCCTTGAATATTACAGCAATGTTTATATGACATAATTTATGGTAAAGTGAACAAGTGGATAGGAATGAATTTTTTTAGATTTTTTAAGTTTTTTAGTGCTTGCCTATAATACAAAACATTGACAGTTAAGGGCCATAATTCAAATAAAATCTTTGACAGAATTACCTTCTCCTGGACATGTTTGGGAATCATGATTGTAAACAAGTATTCCAACTTTCAAATTAATATCTCAAACAGTTCAGTCAAAAAGTGGACTGGTACTAAAAACTTAACCAAGATTCTAAGTCGATAAAAGGCCTTAATTTTTAAAACAAATCCTTGACAGAGTTACCTTCTCTTGCGTACAGATTGGGGTAATGATGTGAAATAGCATTAAAAGTTTCAAAGCAATATCTCAAAGGGTTAAGGCAATAAGTGGATTTTACCCATATTCAATGTATTTTCTAAGTCAAAAAGGGGCATAATTCTGTCAAAAACCTTGACAGAGTTATGTCCTCTTGTCTGTTGATGAACGTCGTGATGGTAAACAAGTATGGTCAGTTTCAAAGCAATACCTCCAATGGTTTTGAAATAAAGTGAGGTGGTACAAAAAACTTAACCAAGCTCAATACACTTTCTAAGTCAAAAAAGGGCCATAATTCTGTCAAAAACCTTGACAGAGTTATGTACTCTTGTCTGTAGATGGAGGTTATGATGGTGAACAAGTATGGTAAGTTTCAAAGCCATACTTGTAATACTTCTGAAATAAAGTGGGGTGGTACGAAAAACTTAACCAAGGTGTGACGCCAACGCCGACGCCGACGCCAACGCCGACGCCGACGCCGACGCCGGGGCGAGTAGGATAGCTCCCCTTTTCATAGAAAAGTCGAGCTAAAAATGTTTTCCATACATAAAATCATCTTTATAGCGCCCGAAATCGTACATCTATCCATGCATAGTTCAAGTCGCGTACTGACTAACATAGCGTCCCGAAACGTATTCATGATTTTTATTTTTATCTAAGCAAAGATAAATCGTAATTAAGTTCTTTTACAATATGTGTAAGTGACATAAAGAAGGAAATAAACATTTCATCCACAAAATATTATTATACAGCGCGAAAACTGACGTTTCCGATGTTGCGCTAACAAAGCGTCCCGAAGAAATTTAGCGTCCCGAAATGTCATGAAGCGTCCCGAAGCATTAATTTTAATTTAAACAGTCAGAAGGGTTATATTTATTGTAAATAATGTATATTATTATGTATTGAGGTATTTGTGGTAGAAAAAAGTAATCTTACTTATCTTTTTTTTTCAATTTATATAAAAAACTAACATACCTTCGACTCCAGTTCACTTGCTCAAAAACCACCGCATACCGACATGTATGGAAAACATTTCTCTCGCTATTGTTACTTACCTTACTATTTCATTAACTAAAATTACGAAGTATTTCAAAATAATTTTGGTTCAGATAAACATTAAACCTTCCGGACGCTTTGTCGGTATACGGTGGTTTTTGAGCAAGTGAACTGGAGTCGAAGGTATGTTTGTTTTTTATATAAATAGAAAAAAATGATAAGAAGGATTTTTTTTTTCTACCATGAATACCTCAATACATAATAATATACATTATTTACAATATATATAACCATTCTGACTGTTTAAATTAAAATTAATGCTTCAGGACGCTTCATGACATTTCGGGACGCTAAATTCTTCGGGACGCTTTGTTAGCCCAACATGGGAAACGTCAGTTTTCGCGCTGTAAAATAATATTTTGTGGATGAAATGTTTATTTCCTTTTTAATGTCACTTACACATATCATAAAAGAACTTAATTACGATTTATCTTTGCTTAGATAAAAATAAAAACCATGAATACGTTTCGGGACGCTATGTTAGTCAGTTAGCAACTTGAACTATGCGTGGATAGATGTACGATTTCGGGCGCTATAAAGATAATTTTATGTATGGAAAACATTTTTTCTCGCTATTGTTACTTACATTACTATTTCATTAACTAAAATTACAAAGTATTTCAAAATAATTTTGGTTTAGATAAACATTAAACCTTCCGGACGCTTTGTCGGTATACGGTGGTTTTTGAGCAAGTGAACTGGAGTCGAAGGTATGTTAGTTTTTTTTTATATAAATAGAAAAAATGATAAGTAAGATTATTTTTTTCTACCATAAATACCTCAATACATAATAATATACATTATTTACAATAAATATAACCCTTCTGACTGTTTAAATTAACAATAATGCTTCGGGACGCTTCGGGACACTAAATTTCTTCGGGACGCTTTTTAGTGAGACCGCTGATATTATAGTGGAACCCCATTGTATCGTGCTATTCATTGTATCGATCTATTTACAAATCTTTCGATTTTTTTGCAAAATGCACTAGCTTCTGATTGCTAACATTTATGACAGTGTCACGAAATTCTTTCGCATTTGTTTCGAGCCGAAAAAATGACCAAAAACATGTTTCCAATACCGTCAGACTTTGTAGATAATAAATAGACTTATAAATAGTGTGTTCTTATTAAAATCACATTTCTGTCTGTTGAAAGTTCCTAAATTTATGCTGACATTTTAAAACAGACATCTTTGATTCTAATTGACTGAAAAATCTAGCATAAAGATGGGTCAGGCTTCCCAAACTTTGACTAACTGAGCGATTCTCACAATGCATCGATATAATGGCATGACCTAATTCTTCAACCTGTTTGACATATCTGTAAATAATCCTATATTCCAAAGCTAAAAACTATATATCAGTGATGTTTGCCATGTAATATTTATGACAAAAGAATCAAAATAAATGATACAAAATAAAGATTCAGGGAAATTTAATGTTTTTAACTGCAGTTGTGATTTATGGGTTAATAGATCGATACAACGGGGTTCCAGGCTAAGTCATTAAGTGCAAGCTAAGGGAAAGGAGTTGTGTCATTTGTTGACGAACGCTGTTGTGTTTCATCTTACATTGAAAAATATGTAGATACCGAGCCATTTTAGATACATTAATATAATTTAATCATTAAAAAAATCATGCAGATAGAAATCTACATTACAGATAGAAAAAATAAAGGAAGTGGCTAGCCGTACGGGCCCGTACGGCTAGCCAAAAGTTCTAGCCGTACGTGAGTCACGTACGACTAGCCTGGACACACTGTATTGGCTAGCCGTACGGCACTTTTCAAAATTATATGGAAGTCGAAAATGCATATGTTATTTTGTGTCCTTAAACGACGATTTTAATCAAATCTCCGCATTTGTCCTAGTGTGTTCACTTTAATAAAGATGCTCCGCAATTTTGAAAAAAAAAATACGAGTAAGCGTTATATAATCTATCTTAATAAGATAAAGTGTCAAAGAAGTTCATGTTATAACATCCTTAATTTTCATGCTAATGATTTGTTTGAAAGATGAATTGTTAAATCTGTTAATTAAGCACACGGATCGAATTAATAATGATCGGAGGCAGGGTCTTTCAAATAGAATCTATTTGAAAGACCCTGTCGGAGGGGAATAAATAAATAAATAAAAAGAAAGTATAAAAAAACGTTGAAAAGGAAAAATAATTTAATAATGCAAACTTTCCTTAATGATGGACGGTGGACAAACTTTTATACCGTCGGTAATTGACGTAATTATCAGAACCCAACAACAATTATTTTCGGTGTTTTTTGTTTGTTTGTTGTTGTTGTTTTTTTTTTCAATTTAGAAACTAAACTTAATGAAACAAAAAAGGATTATTATCAAAATTTGTAAACTATTTCAATTGATGTTATTTAAATGCAACCAAACGCTATTTTTTCTCGAATGACAGACTATTCTCTCCCTAACCAGTTCCTCCCCTGACGGTTCTCTCCCAAATTTGAAATATGCAGACAGTTCTCCCCCAATTTTATTTTTTTAAGTTATTATTTTAGTTTCGACTTAATTCAATAATATTTCTCAATGAAGACTATTAAAAGAATGTGTTTGATATTAAGTGCATTTTATGTTTTATGTTTATCTGAAAAGTGTTTGTAAATTTAACACCTTTTTCAGGTATTTTAATCCTATCAACACCTTCATTGTGAGAGATTAAGATAACTGGCCAGTGACTGATATACACCTGTAATTATGTAAACGTCTAGTGATATTCATTTTTTTGTTATATAGAGAATAACATGGTAACAAGTATATTCTAGAAAATAAATAAGCATTTCACATTTACTTTTATACTAAATTGATTAAAGAACATCACTCTAGTCTTTCACATGAAGTAATATTTAGAACCAAATAATTAATAAAAATACTTACTCGTCAACACCTTTTCACAGCTATTTTAATCTAATCAACACCTTGACTCTTGAGTAATGAATAAACACCTCAATTATCTCTGACAGCAAACTTAATGCACTATGTATTTAACACCTTTCTTCATTATACAAAACTTCAAAAGTTTTGAAATTTAGGTATTGAAATGCATTAATCAGTTTTAAGAGATCTAATTAAAAAAAACAACAGAATAATAAATAAATATGCTTAAAATATTTTCTTTTCTATTAAATCTATATCAATTAGTAATAATACCTATTTATTAAACATCTAAATACTTTGATAATATATGTTTCTTTCTCTTATTTATATCAGTAATAATTTATCCATTTATAAAACATCTAAACACTTCAATAAAATATTTTTTTATTAATTTATATCAATTAATATTGAACTTACCCATTTGTCTAACATCTAAATACTTCAGTACAATATTTTTTCCCTCTAGTTTATATTAATAATTAATAAACATACCCATTCATCTAGACACTTCATATCAATAAATATTAAACTAACCATTTATGTAACATCTATATACTCCAATACTAATGCATTAATAAAATTAAAAATGGGGAGGAACCGTCTGCTTATTTGCAAATATGCAGACAGTTCTCCCCCAAAATAGGGAGAGAATCGTCAGGGAGGAAACGTCATGGGAGGAACTGGTAAGGGAGAGAATAGTCTGACTACCTTTTTTCTCGACGTCTTGAGATGACAAAGTACATTCTTTATTGTAGCCAACACGTCGATTAATCTCTAAAAAGTAAACATTCTTGACTAAAATCCTCGCTTAAAGTCATAATTAACATATGCACTTTCGCCTTCCATATATTCTTGAAAAGTGCCGTACGGCTAGCCAATACAGTGTGTCCTGGCTAGTCGTACGTGACTCACGTACGGCTAGAACTTTTGGCTAGCCGTACGGGCCCAAAAATAAAATTAAGATCAATATTTGTCATTTGATATTGATACATCATCGATATGATTTGCATCGAATGAACAACAGCTCTAATTTTGGGACAACTCTTACTGGCTTAGTCTTTGGCAGGCAGGTTTAGAACTCACAGAATCAGAGATTCAACCAAAACTTCTTGAATACATTTTATGGATGATGACACCCCACCCACAAAATAACAACTGTGAAACAATTGATTTAAAGGTATTTGCCTTTGTTATCTATGTTAATGTATCTTTTCTAATGAGCAGTAATAAAAGAAGCAATAAACTGTAGCCTGTTCTTGTATTATTTTAGTTTCATGTCTGAAATAATGAAGAAAAACAAATTATGTCAAAAATTTGACAGTCGGAAAACACGTCGCAGCTGAAGAGTATTTCCGGTTAACTTCTGTCCGCTTTTGTCCCGTATCATACCGTATTCAACAAAGTGATACGGTATTACGGTAATGAATAAAAAAAAAATGTCTCCCTCGCACTTAGCACCGGCTTAAGTTACAGTTGTTGAGGGAGTAGCGGATTTAAGCGCGAAGCGGATAGCTTGTCAGTTAAATTGCTCTTTTTGAGTCACAATTATTGAACAATTTTACCAACTGAAAGAGTGGTATTTTCTCCGTTAATTTTGTTTTGTGTTTTTTAATTATTTTTTCTTACACTAACCAGAACTAGTAATCTAGAATTTTACGCAGTACTTTTTTTTTCGAGCCGTTCGAAAAATATAAACAAACAAGATATTGGTGCATGACAGGTAAAGCAATAAAAATGTTGACTTGTTTGGTGCATGACACTTTTTTATCATTTCTATCGAACATTTGCCTACAAAACTTATATTGTCATTGAGTATAATTGAAAATAATCAGCAAGTGATTTTGTCAGTAATGGATTTTTCATGTCTATGTAGTGGGTAAATGGTCTCAAAATATACTTAATTAGTCAAATTACTGTCACAATTAAGTAATTAAAACTAAAGGTTTACCAAAGCTTTTTACCATATTATTTTAGAATTTGAGGAATTGTTGTAAAATTTCATGAAATATTTAAGCGTCTATTGTATTGCCTTTTTTTACAATTAGAAAATTTATGTAAAAAATTTCATTTCAATAACTCCTGAACATGTTTTCAGGGCATGTACTTTATGAATGATTGTTTTGAGATAATCCTTAGTGATCTCCATCTGCCTATCTACACTCAAAAGCTATCCGTTACTCATTAGATTATGTGCAATATTATACCAGGAATGTATTACAATTTGCTAAAAATCACAAGCATCTAAAAGGGACAGTCTTTTGTCTAGTGAAAGGTAATCATTTGATTTTCATATCTTTATTAAAAATGATATAAGCAAAAATTTATCTCCTTAGCTATCTTATACTGCTTAAACAACAGTTTACTACGGTGGTACAAAGGTGACATGTGTGTGTTTTTTATTCATCTCGTGGCCGCGAGATACTAAGTCGTGACCACGAGATAGCTAATTTGATAGGCTCAGTGAGGTTGTTCTTTTGATCATTAACACAAACATATATTTAATCTCAAGATGCTCTTTTCTAAAAATCTCTAAATTGTCAAACATCTATCCATCCATCTATCCATCCAATCATTAAATTTATTTATTTATTTATTTATTTATTTATTTATTTATTTATTTATTTATTTATTTTTATTTTTTTATTTTTGGAAAAAATTTATAAATTGATGAATTGTATTTATTGTAAACTGTTGTTCACCCAACCCGTGTTTGAATGAATTAAGGGAAATGTGTGCAGGAGCTGGTGAAATATACATGTGAATGTCCGCTAGGATTTTCTGGTGAAAACTGCAAGAAAGTACGTACAAGATATTACTCTATCTTTAATGAAGGTACCATGGCTTCCTTTTTCAGGAACTACTGCCAAAAGAGCTTTTAATAATAAGCGCTGTTAAACGCTCGAATAGTATCAACCTTAAAGACACGCTGTTGCATGTCCTACTATGATTCTACCAAATATTTGAGCAATGGACCTATCTAGTGAAGTGTTATGCAAGAAAGAATGGGTAACTGGCTTTCCAATTACTACAATGGGGTTTAACAATAGGAAACATGTGATATGTTTTCATGAGCAGTTACAGTTACTAAATATAAAAATATTTTCAACAATTCTAAAACTTAAAGCCATTGGGAAGCAATAGTCAAATTTTAACATTTGTACTGTCTAAAGAAATACCCTGGAAAATCCATTTCCCAATAAACTTTTTAATGTATATCATGCCCTTTTCAGAATTTAACGAGTATTGTAACCTATGTTAAATGCAAATAATTTTATATGTTTTTTATTTATTGGTTCGTTTTGGGAAACTTAATACCAAATCGATTTTTCTTTAAAGAATAAATAATACTGTACCTATATACCTTCAATTATTTTAAAGAATTTCGAGTGTCCCGACATTTAAAGATTAAATTATAGGAATTTTAGAAAAAAAAATGTCAACAATGGTCACACTTTTCATAAATATTTCAAATATGCATAAAACAACAGAAATTTGTTATTTGGATATTTTTAGGATATATTTCTGAAAATGTTGATAGAGTTTTAAGTTAAAAATGATATCGTATGAACACATATCATATTTGATAAAAAATAACATTTTGTTCTAGATCACTTTATTACCTGCTATATATTTATTTCCAACAACATATTTTTTTTCTTCGGTTTGTTGCCAGGTATGATTCTGAATATTGTCAAAACAAATACTGATCATCTATCATAGACGAATTGCCTTTTATAAAAATATCGATAGATATCTAAATTGATTTAAAAACATTATTGTTGGCTGTACAATATTGATGCATTTTTGTAAAAAAAATATTTAAACTATTAGTGACTATGAATACAAATTACGCAACAGTGAATACAATTTCAGTGGTTCTTGATTGTCGGCTAAGCCGCTGTCGGAATGGAGGCACCTGTATTCAGGCATTAGATTTTGACCTTTGCTTGTGCAAACCGGGGTTCACTGGGGCCAACAGTTACTGTGAATATGGTACGATTTTTTTGTTGCCTATAACTCATGAATATATTTTTCATGTTTTCTGCTATAGTATTTTAAATTCACAGTTATTGAAAAAAAGGAAAAAAACATATTAAATTTCTACGGTATGTAACAGCAATGTCTAAGGCTAAGATACTTGACATGTTGTATTTTCTGGTAAAAAGCCCTTTGGGTCTCTATCGACCAAATCTCAGCCGGGGGTCAATTTATTCATATGGACTTATATAGGGTAGGAACATACATGCAATGCTTATTGTGCCGAGCGCTAGTCATTGTATTTAAGATATGTATCTTGTTAAGTGATATGTTTGATCTTGTTTTACAAGTTTTAGTGAGGAAAACGACGTATTTGTTTGGAACCTAAGTCAAATAATGTTTTAAAAGATGAATTGAATGTCAAATCGTTTATAACAATTACATGCTTGTCAGTAAAATGAAGTGGATCATACTTCATCTCAATGATCCCTTTACAAAAACTATCTATAATATCAATAACATTATCATCAATGTAAAATTGTCTTTGCTCTCCAGATTTACGTGTTTCCTAAATACAAATTTTTGTCTTCCTTATATTGAACTTTAGACCCAATTGTTTCGAATATTGATATACATAGTTAAAGTGATTCTGTAAAGTATTAGCATTATCGGTGAGAGTGGCTCTCCTTGTTTCAATAAAAAAATTCTGAAAATGTACAAGCATTTTCGACAAATGACGAAACCTGTTCATAAATTGTTTTTATATCATTTACCATTTTACTGCTTATTCCCTCTTTTAACAATTTAACAAATACTGCTGCTCTGTTAACTCTTTCGAAGTCTATAAAAACGCAATACAATTCAATTTGATCATGTAACACTTTTTGGATAATATAATGTAATAAAAATATACAATCGATTGTATATTTTTTAACTCTAAAACCAAACTGTTTCACAAAATATATTTTCTGTCTCGCACCATTTATTTATTCTGTTATTAAAACAAGTGAAAAATGTTTAGCCATCAATTCGGTTCATTGTATTCAAATTACAGTAACCTAAGATATTTACAATGCGATAATCTACAACGCTAGCTCCATTTTAGCAGTGATACGTAAAATCACCCTTTTTTAATCGGCCATTTACAATGAGTAAATCATGTTGCTTACATACAGAGAGTAATTTTATTCCAAACGGGTTACATATTTTATCAGCAGATTGTCTTACAGGTAACATAACATCATGCATTTCTAGCATGTCCACAAATCTCTGTAAATTTATATTTTATGTAAGTCTGGGGTTTCCCGTGTTAGACTGTTCAGGTCCCCGTACCAATACGTATCTCAGTGAGTTTCATTTCGACTAAAGTCGGCACTTATTTGACTAAGTAGATCACATAACAAAAATATCGAATTTTCATGTTAATAAACAGATGATTCTTCCGAAAAAAAAAATGCTTTACAGAAAAACGCATCACAGGCTAGATAACATAATTCACTTTTGATCTTAAACCAAAGTATACCTATATTATCGGATTTAACAAGGTCAATCTTTCCGCTAAAATGACTTCTGTAATAAACATTAATACACAATTAAACCTCCGCTAAAACATTAAGCCTTTTTATTAGTTTTACGCCTAGCACACAGAAAATTCAGGTATCCATCAATGCATACATTCGATCTGAAAGAAGTCAATGTTTCAGTCAAAAGAATACTGTCATAATTATCTGTTTATAAAAGTTAAAGAATCATTGTAATCTAATTAATCCTGGAAACCTTGGACATTCCACAAGACAAACATTAACTGTACCTCCGTTATATTCTACTCAGACATGCATATCTTCAGGTGAAATACTGGTTGATCGTTGACCTCGATCAAACGAAATAATTGCATCATTGCCCTCTTCCCGTGCTTTGATAAGCTCGGGAATTAAATCCTTCCTTTTTTCTTGCACTTTGTCTCGATACTTGCCACTAATCCGATAATCTGTATCTTTCAATAACATTGTGGCTTGTTGTTTTATCAAAGCTCTATCGGGGGGGGGGGGACTACAATGGGGCGTGTTTTATTTGACAGAAATTTCCCTTTTCTACGAGCACGATCAAATTTTATGTTTTTCATAGCATCTGACATTTCTAGATTGTTTTCACAAAAGTTGAGAATTTACAATGAACAGTTTTGATCTCGTCTGTTGTTAGGTAAGGAATGTTAAAGAACAAGAAATTGTCCGTCATCAATCGTACTTGCAAATATAGAATATCATCTCCTAACTAAGAGTTGCTTTGTTTCAAATTATTCAGGTCACCTTGCATGCTATTACATCTTTGTATTTCAACTGAGAGAATTTTGTCTATATATTTCTGTTTAGAAGCACACACGAGGATCAAATGACCTGCTTTTTTCAAGTTCCATTGTTGTTTTATTCGAATCAGACATTTTGGATTCCAGAGTATAGATTCTATGATTTATTGAAGAAATTTTAGGGTAAACAACAGATGAAAAAGTAAAATGTAAATGGGAAGTATGTGGCAAAGAACTATTGAAGCGATTTTAACACGTGACGTGTAGTTTATGCACGTGGGAATAACGAGAAGTAATGCACTGTTACTGTCAAGTGATCATAAAATAAGCTGGCGTATTGTTTTTTTCGATCTGATAAAATTATTGAAATTATCATGTTTCGAGGGAAAATAAGAATATTTGTAACTGAAATATGTGTGTAATGAAAACGTTTATGCTATGAAGTAAAATGCCAAAAGAAACAAAAAGTATCTTTTAAAAAAGATACTCGGCCGAAGTAAAACTGGGTCTACTTTAGGGCCCGTCTACACCTATCCAAGTCTTGAATGCAAGTATCATATTCTCTTGTATTGGATAGTGTAGACACCCTACTTGAATGAGTTTGAAAGAGAAATTATGTGACATCCAAGAAGATAATTCCTTGCAAGGAAGTAAGAACACGTTCTATTTTTCTAAAGTTTTTAGCTGTCAAGACACTGATAACACCGGTTTGACACAAAACATGTGCCCCGAAGGTGTGATAGTGTTGTTTTTTTCTTTATTATTTTCTGACTTTTTTTGGTTCATGATCTGCAAATTTTAGTTAAAGTATACAATATCTTTGTCAGAGGAACAGATCAATACACTGATACACAGATGAGCAAAAAAATTAATTAAAAAAAAATCAGTTGTTCAAGTAATCAAAGTGGATTTTAAATGATCTTGTTCATTTAGTGAATAACTTTCATCAAATAAAAAATTTGCATCAATTTATCAGCTCAAAAAATATTTTTCTCAAATTTTCCATCATTGCATCATTTTCCCGCCTTTTTATTTACATATTTTACAGAAACATGATAGTATTGCAAAGACAAAGGTATAAATCGTGGGTAATCTTAATTAGACATTTCAGTAAAAATTGTGCCAGATTAAATATTGAAAGGGCCATTTATTTAGCTTATCTAAATATGACATGTAAGAAACTTGAATAGGTGTAGATGCGGCCTTATTCAAGGAAAAAAGCATGTAGATATTGCAGTGTCGTTAGTGTCTATAGATTAGCTCCGCCTACGTAATTAAATTGTAAGTAGTAATTAAATATTCACACTCTGAGTCCTCTTTGATAGACAGACACTTTAGATTATGCATGCAATATAGCATGACCTTCGCTAATTCTTCTGTAAAAATACATGTGTATATAAGAATAGCCTTTAAGATAACATTTTTTCAATACAGTACAGGTAGAAGAGGTTTAAAATTAAAACATATAACACTTTAACGTCACCGAATCTTACAAAATAATGCTATAAAGTCACCGAGTTACAAAATGTCTTTGAAATTATAAATATCTAACAGGCATGTAAAGCGGGTACACGTAACTCTATACGTGATCTGATGTATCGGAAAAGAAAAAGGTAGAAAACGATTATATACTGTAGTTACCCAGATTAAGATTTCAGAAGTCGATGTTTATAGTGGTAAACAGGTTTATGAAACGGCTCAGAACAGGTAAAATTTAAGTTATTTTATCAAGGTTTCTTAAACACATTTATTCTTTTCTAATAAAGGAATTATAAGGTTCTTACATTCGAATGATTCCGTATCTCGAGTATATATGTTCGCTTGTAATGTATTGATCAATAAATTTGTAATCAATCTGTAATAACGACATATGTATGTGACCTCATAAAAAATCGAGCCAACACCATGCCTTATACCTTTTACACAAGGTCTATATTAGCGACGTCTGTCACAGATGGACTCGATTGTCATATGAATACTTTAATTTAGTACTTTTAAGTGTTATAAGTGTAAGAATAAATGGATGGAAAAATAGAGTATCCAAAACAATCAGTGTCGTCCTTTAAATGAATTGTAACACTTACCCCGCTAACATGTTTAATATCATTCTGTAATGGGTTTGTCCAACTTTTCATAAAGACAAAACCATTTCATGCGATCACATTGGCAAATTTTTGAATCGCTAGCAGGCTTGGGTTAGACAACTTACATAAAGTTTATGAAACATTTTAATATAAGTTTAACTAACAAGTGATCAATTGTCTTTACTTATTTATATCAACAATATCCATTATGACCAATGGACTTCTAACGATTATAAAAGATTATTGTTCTTCGGTAAGGTCAATGTCACAGTAAAGGAACAACTTTTAAGTTAATTCAGGTTATATCTAAATTTTATCTGTCTACTGGTTTCGTATAATTATACATTAAGATTTTTTCATTTACAATGTTAATGCTACCTTTCTTGAAATAAGAAATAATCTTGCGTTAGTAAAGTACATTAATCTATTAGCAAAATGAAAATGTACACAATCATTGTTAACGTCTAGCTTCTATCTAATTAGCTGTAATTTGAAACCAACTATTCTCTTTAAAATTTCTCTGTGTTTTGTTCTGTACTTTTTTATTTAAGTTTAAGTGGAGTTTTTTGAAGGCCTTATAGTTTGCATTGCTATAACATATTGCCTTTGTATATTATATTGTTTTATTTTTTTTAAAGGACATGGCTTTAGTTACGTGTACATTAAAGCTGTGATAAATATAATTATAAGCTCTATTTGAATGTCTTCCGATTTGCATTTTATTATTATTATTTTTTATTATTATTATTATTATTTTTGTTATTTTATTATATTATTATTATATTATTATTATTATTATTATTATTATATTATTATTATTATTATTATTATTATTATTTATTATTATTATTATTATTATTATTATTATTATTATTATTATTATTATTATTATTATTATTATTATTATCATTATTATTATTGTTCATTATATAATCATCATTTTTATTTACTTTAATATAAAATTATTATGATATTATGAAGTTTGTAACAATCAATTTAACTCCTATTTCATACAATACTACATATTACAGATATTAACGATTACAGTTGAAATAATAGTTTCATTTTACTCATTTTTTGTACAATCCTTGTTATACAAGGGTTGTCCAAAATTCAAAGGTTGACAAATTGGTCTTGTTTTCAAGCATTTAGACTTAGTTAGCTCATTTGGCCTAAGAAGGTCAAGAACTTTCTGCAATGTCAATTCTGATCCTTTATTTATACCCGGTTGTTTGAGATTTAATTCCAAGTACAACATGATCTAAAATTTGGCTACGCTTCTTTTGCAGCCAATTGAATGCACTACCGTGTAGGAAAACGGACGGCTTTAAAACATTTGTCCTATGAGCACAAGAGTAAACTATGACCATCTAGTCATTTAAATTTTTGAAATATAATCTTAAAATCAGTTACATATTCCTAAATTATCGCTGGTAGCAGATGGGTATGTTTGTCTATGTTCACCACACGTCCGTTACCAAGTATACAATATCAGTCCGTATAAACGCATAAGGAAATCAATTTGCTTTTAAGAACTCGTCTCAGCTTCCAGGAGCACCTCTCCAATTGCCCATTACCATCCTTGTTCGAAGTTTGTCATAACATTCCGAGAGATGACAATCGAAATTAACAGAAGACTTTCAATTTCCTATTTATGTGTCTTTGTAGACTGGAGATTCACTTTAAAATAGTTTGAGGTCCATAAATAGCTTGTATGAGTATATTTCATATTGTTTTTGGATTGCGACATATTATTAAAGTGTTTGAGTGTTTGTTTTGTTTTTGTTTGTTTCAGAAAAATGTCGGAGACATTGAAAGACCTAAGTAAATTAGAGTCACGATTTTTAGACTATCCGAACTTTTATGATAAACTAAATGAAACTCTAGATGATATTGGTGTTAACAATGACATGGTTCACAGGCGAAGACAAAATGCCCTTCTAGGTGAGAATATTGGAACAGTAATGGCAATGTTGAAAGGGTATGATAGGCCGGTGTATAATTTTGGTAGTCGCTCTGAAGGTACGACAACAATCAGTCTACAGTCAGACGCAGATAGTCTTCACCATGTACCAGGCATAAATGTGGTACAAAGTTTGCAAGAGTTTGAACCAGAAGATACTACAAATTACGCTATAAATCTCCTGATGATTCAAGGTGATGATATTGCTCCTGGTTACTGCCATCTTGAAGTGATTAACGAAGATCTCAGATTGTCATCCATCGACGTTACGGAAGTAAATGACCATTACGTCAGAGGGAAAGATGATCGTATATACTACAAGAATACTGTAATGGAAGATTTTATGTCTGGAAAAGGTGAAAGGCATGGGCCTGCCTGGGCCGTAGAGGGTCAAATGGGAATAACTGATCAAGACACTGTTGCTGGATTATACTGTAAATCTTGGCCATACCAAGCAAGAGACTGGCTCAATGAAAGTAATCAAGTAAAATGGCCATCAGACGCACTGAAAAGAAAATGCATGAAAGATGGTTGTTTTGTTGTTCCTACTGGAAGTAGTCCAGGAACAGAATTTGAATGGAGAATTTCAACTTCCTTAGCGGAACGACAGCTTATGTTTAGCCTCAATATAGTACAACTAAGATGCTATGTCCTAATGAAAATATTAGTAAAAACCTTTATAAAAGAAGGCACAATTTCAAGCTTCATGTGTAAAAATGTTCTGCTACAATGTATAGAGAGTTCGCTGCCTTACGAATGGAAAGAAGCCAATCTATCACAATGCCTAGATAAATGTTTGAAGAGATTGAGAAGGTGCGTAGATGAAGAAAACTGTCCTCATTTCATGATACCAACAAATAATTTGATGGCTGGCAAATTTTCGGAGAAGGTAAAGTCTAATATACTTGAAAAGTTGGGATTCGTCATAAGCTACACTCGTATTGTACTAGTAAAAGCAATAAAACTAGATGATCTAAGTATAAGGTTAAGGAACAAACTCGTCTCATCCACTGATTCTAACTGTATGACACCACTCCAGATAAGGAGTTCTATTAAAGCAGAACGCTTATTGGACACCGCTGTAATTTTGCGTGGATACCAAATAATACATCTCACACATACGTGTAAGTATTACAAAAATACAGAATTACAACAGGATTTTCAAAGACGGTCTCTCAGAACTCTTGACCAACTAACAAACCAAGAAGATGAAAATAAAAGAGAAGTTAGCACACTTGTGTCACCGTTTCTGTCATCATTATTGGGGTCTTTGCAAGCTGCTCGCGTTGAAAAGGACTCTGATATTTCAAAACTGCTTGAGGCAGAGGACTTGCTCATTAAAGGATGTGATTCGGATGTTTCTTCGGGCAGGCTCAAACTTGCCTCATATTTTTATTGTTCAGGAAAAATAGGAAGAACTGAATCTATACTGAATGAAACTGACGGCAAGTACGATAGAACTTTAGTTATACCAATTTGTAGATGTTATCAAGGGCCGATGGATACTGGAAGTATGAACAACATCAAGTTTCAAGAAGAGAGAAATCTGGTTATGAAGAATATAGTAGCATATTGTGTTATATTTCTCCCAGCTGAGATTAAATGGATACCCAAAGAATTGCAATATGAATTGTATCGGCTGACTGGTGACAAAGCGGGAAAGAGTGATAAGGTAACCTGGATGGATTGGGCTGTCGTTGATTCCCTCCCTTACCTTCATTTTCTACAGTACAAAGTAAACAAACATTTTCACGATGAATACGGTCTGCAGAGGGCGTTGTTAAACATGGAACAGTCAATTGGGAGAACACGGAACCTTTGTCATCGAGAGACAGCATTGAACCTGCTTGGTCAGTGTATGGAACAGAATAATCAACCAATAAAAGCTCTGGAATGCTACTCAAAGTCATTGAGATTGCAACCAAGAAACAATGCAGCGAAAGTGCTCATTTGTATTTGCCTCGCAAGACTGTTTCAGAATAAAAAAGATGAAGTCACAAAAACAATATATCAGAGACAACGGAAAATGGAGCAGAACTAATAGATTTGAAGACTGGCGCATCACAATATTTCTACATGTACACATAATTATCAAAACGATGTCGATTGAACAATTAATAAGAAACTGGTAAAATATGATTCAAATAATGGTTTTGTTGTTAATACACATATATAATATACTGTTTGGCTGTTCTACAGTAAAATATCTGTACGGTATGGTACATGTTTATGGAGAATGGCATAAAAAGAAACAAATTTATTCTTCACTGCATCGACCCTGCGTTATTGTTTAAGGTAATGATGCATTTATTCAAGGCGGTAAGGATGTTGTCAAACTTGTACTATTTGATCTACAAAACTGATCAACTGAATGAACCAAATACCGAACAAAGGTATTGTTTTTCTAGAAACGTTGTGTCTAATCCGCGCCTAAAATGACAGACGAAATAACTCTAATTTTACCCCGATGTAAATGCACTGCAAAATCTATTCATATTGCTTATTCATATTCATGGTTAATGTCCTCGGAAGACCCTAGAGTCTTGAATGTCTTTTCGAAATACTTACTCGAAATTTATAATAAAAGAAATCTTAAGTTAGGTAGTACTAGAAGTAATAAAACTTTGTCAGACCATTGAATGTATGTTATTGAATTTGAATATCGAATGAGTAATAAGTGTTTTTTGTTTGTTTGTTTTTTGGGTTTTTTTTGTTGTTTTTTTTTGTGTTTTTTTTTCTGTGTTTTTGTTTCTTTCTTTTTTGTTGTTGTTTTTTTTTCTTTTTTGTTGTTGTTGTTTTTTAATACTGTTTTTGCGACGGACGCGCTCAGAGCTATGTCATCTACACATGGGATTTCGTCGGCTACAATCGCGCAATGTGTCCTCAACCGAATAACAGCCCACCAAATAGTACATGAATTTGATCCTATGAAACTCCCATACTTCGTCGGGATATCTTAAAAACTTCCATATTAAGCCTTTTCAATTTCAAATTAAGTTATCCAAGATAAAATATAAACGTATTTGATAAAAACGGTGTAGCCCCGTAGTATTATTGCGCAATTATGCAAATAACTGCTGAAACGATTTACCGCTGTCGAAAAAGTAGGACAGCAAACTATGCTATAATTAAGGAGTAAGCTCAATAATTCATAGAAATTATAAGCAGGAAATAAATATTTCCCAATTAAACAAACATTTTTATTAACAGATCAAAATGTTTCGTGACTTTAGAATAACTTGCGCATTAATAAAAGAAACACTCTTTTCGTGACTCATACTGCGGGTTAAGCTGAATATCCAGCAGTTATGTAATCAGTCCTACGCATAAACCCTTCCAGCCTGCTGAATCTCAGTAAAGGCCTCAACAGACGGTAGGGTTTTGAAGTACAACACCAATTAAAACTAAGATGTACTGACAAATCTTAATGTGTGAAGGCTACTATTTCTTGATTTCGGAAACCTTATGTCTAGATGTAAGGGATAGGACATGTTCTATTTTGAAAATCTTGTCGTACCGATTTTTTCAGACCTCCCACAATGACAAGTAACAGATAACCAAATTATCTCCTGATAATGGGTGTAATGAATGAAATTCCAGAACAATTAGGGCTAAAATGTAAACATAGTAGTAAGATGGGGTAAAAATGATGTTGAAAAACTCTTCAGGAGAACAATATCCCTTTGAACATATAAATTTCCATAAAATAATGTTATTTTTTACTCTACCTCTTCATTTCATCATAAGGGATTGACTTAAAGCTTCAAATATGTGTTCCTTACCGACAACTACATCATATGTGACAATGTTGTTCACTTTAGCACCAATATTTTTCCAGAATATTTCCCCATGAACTCATTTTTTTCCTAACAAAATGTTACTTTTTACTTACTTCTTTATTTCCTAAGGTATCTACTTCTAACTTAAAATATATGTTCCTTATACATGTGTGACAATATTCATAACTCTAGCATGGATATTTCCAGAATTATTTCCCCTTTGAACTTAGATGAAGGGTGGCATATTAAAATCGAACCATCCGTCAGTCCGTCCCGCTTCATACATATAGACAGTGGTGGTCGTGTCCGTTCTGAAACTTCAGAATGCATGAAAGGATTTTAATTTTTCTTTCATATATGAAATAACCATAGATGTATGGTGTGTCACGAACAAAACTCGGGTTCCTACGACTAAGGTCAAGGTCACTGTGGGGGTTCAAACTTTCAATTGTCAATTTTGATGTTAATATACATATAGGCAGAAATGGTCGTGTATGCTCTGAAATTAATATGCATGAAAGGATTATATTTTTTTATTTCACATATGAAATCATCATAAATGTATGATGTGTTGCCCTTAAGACATATAAATGGTTGTTGTTGTGTCCGCTCTGTAACTTCCATATACATGAAAGTTTCATTTTTTTTTTAAATATAAAGTCACCATAGATGGACAATGTGTTGTGAACAAGACTCAGGTTTCTTTGTCTAACTTAAAGGTCACTGCTGGGGTTCGAACTTTGTTATAGGTGGTTTATAACTAGAATCATTTAGGGGCATTTGTCACGTTCTGTGACAGCTCTTCTTTATATATATTATTTTTATATATTTATATTTTTTGCTCTTACTTCTTTATTTATGAAAGAATTTACTTCTTACTTTAAACAATAACATGACAAGCTACATAACTCTCGCATCAATATTTTCAGAATCATCATCCTTTTATACTCAGAATTTTAGAAATAAAAAACTTATAAATTTTTTTGTTTCTAAAATTAATTATTACACCACCCCAATGCTGTACCGAGTCCCTGACTGTGATTGTGAGTTGTAAGTGATTAAAATCCTTTTTAATGTAATCCAGTCTTTTTAGTCTTTAACTTATTTAAAATTGAATGTATTTATGAAAATTTTAGTTTTCCTTTTATCTGAAATGTTCTCTATATCATCCAGCTAATAATAAAATTATACATTCTTGAAACATGATAGGATCATAAAACATTCTAGGGTGCTGCTATCAGTGATACTGTGACAAGCCGTGTAATTATAATTAAATGCTCATCACTGGCCAGAGATAGGAAATTTTTGGGGAAAACTGGAAATTTTGGGTTTATGCGTAGGACTGTAATAGAAAGAGCACCGAAACACGAGGCTGGCTTATTTGTACGAGGGGGCGTAGCCCCCAAGTATAATCAGATTTCCGAGTGTTTTGGTGTTCTCTTTCTTTTGTATCATAGTCAAACATGACAGCACGTTCCCTGTTGTCATAATATGAAACCCCAGAAACAATTAACCAATGAAAGAGCATTTGAATATGATAGTTCTGCCCCTTTCTCTTTCTCTGTCGTCACAATATGTAAACCCCGGACAAAGTGAACCAATCAACGGGCATTATCTGGAGTGCGGGTAACTGATACCTGCACTCCAGTTACCGCACTGTGCATGTATATGTATACGATTTAACTCTGACACTTTTCCCGAAACTATGATACAATAATAAATTAGACTAAAGTACAATGGTTAGTATTTTATATAAATATCTATTTTTGAAAATGCATGTATCAAGGAAGTTTTTCAACTTTTTACCACCATGTAGTCTTTCATGGTAATCTTTATTGAAGGAAGTTACAATATCAGTTCTACTTCCGATTCTTGTGTTTTGTTTACATAGTTTTCTAGGTCACGATATGAGTTAACCTGCTATGAGATTATAATAGCCTTCGACCAGAAGAAAACACTATTCTTAAAATAAATTCTGCATCATCTGTGCTGACATTCGGACGAGTACACATTATACATGAAATAAACCAGCGGATACTTACTTTGTTTACATGCAATACTTTAAGAAATTCTATACAATTGTAAGAAGCAAACAAGTTGAAAATGGAATTTAGTGTGAAATTGAAAGGGACAACTAAACACTGTAGTGTTAAGACGTAAATGAAAAAAAAATCTAAAAATATACACCATACATTGCTGATGATTTTAACCAAAAATATTTTTAATGAGACAAATCCAAGAGAAATAAAAATACAAATGACTTATATTTTATTGTCTATATGCCCACTATGATATAACACGAAGCAATTCTAATTAACATTTTCATATGTATTATGTATTATGATTGAAGTTTATTTGCATGGTTTTATTTTAGAAATATTTCGTTGACAGTTTTTTTTCTATTTACATATCATTTCTTGGAATAAATCGATAAGGGCACTGATTTACAAGTTTGACAAGAGTTTTTAGGCATAAATTTCATTCTGTATTTAAAAAATTGGACTTGTTCTGCTTGAAAGTAGAAAATCTGAATTATATCAGATTGGGACACATAAAATATATTGCTCTACAAATCTCGAACTTGTATGGAACTAATTTTCTCTGTTATATCATTTGTGTTGTTTTGTTTTTATTCTAAAAAAAAAACCTTAATGTCTCTCCGGTTGCATGTCCGTCGCATTCAGTGCTGCAGCACTTTGTTTATTTATTTACTTCTTATTTTGACATTATTGTGCATGTGTTACTTGTTTTTCCAATAATACGAATTATGCTTTAGTGACTTTATTTTCTTCATTTCTACCATACAATACGAAATTTGTTGGTTGATATATTTTGTTACATGCCATATGTTTTATGCTTGCGATTATATATGTCATATAGTATGACTCTTGATGCATATTATGAATTAATGTGCTTATCCTTTGTTTGAATTAATGTGTATATATATTTACAAATAATTACTTTATTAGGTTTAAAATATTTTACTGACTTTTAACAATAACTTTTTATGTCGAGTCAAATATTTTGACTGAATTGTTTGTTTGTCGATGATACTTTTCATTTAAATTTCCTCTTTAAGTTTATTTTTGGCAATGTAATATTAGATTAGAATGTATGTGCATAATTAATATTTTTCCTTATCATCAATACTTACACTGATATTGTGTGAAGAAATATTAAACCATATCATATGTAATCAATAAAGATATAGATCTATCACTGTTTTGTTATGTATACTCACATAATGCTTTATATGCATGTCGAGTTATTAATGTTGAATACAATTTTGACAACTAGTGTAGCAATAATCGCTTGTTGTTAGTTTAAGATAAAATGCACGCAGTTATAATTATTTTCTCCAGTTCTTGTCTTAATACGAGTATTAGTTTCTTCAGAAAACTGGTAGATTTCAAAATATCTCAAGCAATGCGCAGACCTCTTGTATGGGGAAAGTGGATAGTTTATTCAATAACATTTGAAAATTTAAACTGAAAAAGACAAATTATTAAGAAAGTTGAGTGTGCTTTTATTTAAGCTTTTTATAATTCTTATCTTACAGTCACTATGACAAACTAAAAGAAGACTAAGGTTACCTTCTTCATGACAGAGCGTTCTTGATAAGTGAGTGACAGCATATATTTCGTTTTTAGTTCTGATTTGAAGTTGATTTCATTCTACACGTAACATCCATTTTTAATGTTTGCGGTTTTAATCTGGATTGATGTTAAAATGAACATAAGAGACAATAGCATTATTTATAATGTTTTCATGACCAAACACTCCATTTCAACGATAAAGTCGCTAAATTGGAAACGCCGCAACAACTACAATTCAAGCAAGAATTCATCAAATTTCTGGAAGGTTGATAACCGCCATACATGCCATATGAACACATCTGCGGTTTCAAACTTCAAAACTTTACCTGATCATGTTAAATGTGAAATATTTCTTAAGCCGATGCTAGGTATTTCGATTACCACTACCGTCTATCAACAGGCTCAATGAAGCCGAGCCTGCAACATTTTCTTTTGTTGCAATTAAGGTTGTTATGTTATATAAAAATGCTTTAGACTATATGGAAAATACTTTCTAAATACCTCCTTTTATTTACATGAAAATGTACATGTAATTGTGGTAATATCTTTACAAATAATGTATTTTTGAACTTAAATTATTGATAAATCTTTTTTGGGGGCATTATATTTATGATATAAAACCATAAAAAATTGAGTTTTTTTCTTAATTCTTGATTTTGATTTAAAGTTGACGATAAAATGAAAGCGGTAAAGGTAGGCGGTTTGCTAGCCTCGATAAACGAATACCTGACCTAGAAATTGAGATGATCTCACTTAAGAAGCACAATGGTTTACAGCAAGATAAATCCGTCAAAATTGTAGCTTCACGATAATTGGCTCAAATCTACGGATTCGCCGTTAGATGACGCAAACGATTTGATCTCTACTCTAGGCACGGACATATCGAATTCCGTTAAAATCACAGATGCAAGCAGACGTACCGACAGACATACTGGGAAACCAAAAAATTTTTTTGAGAATGCTGACCAGAAAATTGATGTTTTACGTGCAAAGAAAAAGCTAAAATCTGTTGCTGCCTATACAAAGATGTAAACATCTTTGGTAGAAAACCGCATACCGAACGTATACTGGAACTTAATGCTAAAACATTATTGTCTCAAATTCCAAACGGGAATTAGTTTAGAGTAACTGGCAATGGTCGAATAGTGAAAAAAGATTCCCTGCATCAAAATAGTAGCGGTCGTTCAGATAATTGCGGCAGTTAATCCAACGCCCGGTTGACTGAACAATCCATATCGATATCACAGTTAAATGTAGCTGGCTGGACGGAATCAAATTACGTTTTGAGATCTTATTTAATTGCTTACACTTAATCAGATGTCATTTGTATTAATGAAACCTATTAAAAAAATAATTAAACCTTAATTGTTTAAGGTTATCGATTTTATGCACACAACAGAAAATCAATTCACGTAAATGCACCAAAAGGTTCAGGGGGGTGTAGTAATAAATTATCTGATCAATGAATTTTAGTTGACGTCATTGATAAAGGATTTCATTTACGTCAAAGACTACTGAACACTCATTTGTAATATATCCGTAAATCTTTCACCAGAAAACTCGCCATGGGGAAGTAATGCTACGAACTTTTTTGCACATTTACTTGGTCAAGTTTACCTTTTATCAGAGAGTGACGCAATATTTGTTTGCGGTGACGTCAGTGCAAGAATCGTGGAACTTTCAGATATAATTTCGAATGTGGATGGAATTCCTGGAAGATCGATTATCGACAAAACTGTTAATCAACATGGAAATACCTTTATAGAATTTCTTCTTGATTCAAAAATGTGTGTATTAAATGGCCGTTTTTGTAAAACAAAGATAATTCTACGTCAGTATCAAGTCAAGGTTTTGTTTGTTTGTTTGTTTGTTTCATTTTACGCCTTTTCCAACAGTATTTCAGTCATATAGGCTGGTAGTTTCCTAACCATCGTTCCTGGAGAGTTACACCAGTACTAGACTACTTCCCTCCGCGCTAAACTACCAAAGCATCTCCCGTGAATCAAGTCAAGGTAAATCAGTTGTTGATTATATATGCGTTCCACATGACTGTTTGAAAGCGTGTGAGAATTTTGAAGTTATTTCAGTAGAATCGATAGTAGACAGATTTAAGTTGCACTCGCTGATAGGGTCACGCAGTAAACTTCCCGATCGTATTTGTTTTGCAAACCCGAGTGTACAGTTTAGGCATCCTGAGCATGCGTAGTATTGTAGCACTAGCTGTTCAAAACTATCAGCATGAACAGCGTTCTTGGTTACAAAATGGACGCCGCACTTCTTTTTTGCAGTATTTTTAAGAATAATCTGATAGTCCAGTCATTCTAGCTCAAAATACAGCCAAACCCCAAACAAATTGCAACAGAAAATATTTTGAGTGTTTTGGAACCCCAGATCTATATTGTATAACATAAGTCTTTCAAAAATCTTTCACGTTGCTTTCCGCCATTTTCTTACGTCACGTTCTTGCTCACTCCTCCTCAAATGGAGAGTAGCTTCTTGACACGCGAGAGTTACGTTCCCGATGTTAGTTTTGCCCTAGTGTTGCAACTCGACACTCGGGTTTGCAAAACAAATACGACCAAATGTTACGTTTTACTTACAATTACAAAACCGTTTTAAAACGAACAGTTTGTGGTCGCAGTTCAATACCAAAAGTTTTAAATTGAAAAGAATTCCTGAAGTTTTTTAACATCACAGTTGGCGAAAACAGCTTTCATTGGTCTAATAAGAAATATTGAGTTATGCAGAGAAAATCAAGAAAATATAGATAACATTTATGATCAATTTTGTAAAACGTTAATAAAAGAGATGAATGCTCACATTCCGTCATTTGACTGTTCTAAGAAAACACGGAAACTGTATAAAACATTTAAGCCTTACTGGAATGATAATATAGAGGCCCTCTGGCAACGTGTACGTCAGTCTGAGAGAGAATACGTAACATTTCACGGTGATCGTCGAACCAGATTATGCCTCCAAAATGAGTATATAAATTGTAGAAAAACTTTTGATAAACAGGTGCGTCATGCTGAAAGGAGTCATAAGAAGTCTCTCTCGATTGATATTGAGTGCACGTGCACAAACAATCCTAGGGAATTCTGGGATCATAGAAAAAATCTCGGTCCAAAAAATAAAAGTTCTATACCTATGAAGGTCTATAAGTCAGATGGGAATGTGACTAAAGACTGTAATTTTGTTTTCAATAAATGGTCAAGTGAATTTGAAAGTCTTTATAACTGTAACGAAGCCGATGAAAATTTCGACAAGGAATTCTACGAGCAGATTTTAAACGAGAAGTGTTTCTTAGAAGATCGTATGTTACACCCCCTTTTTGAAGAAAATCAGCTGTTGAATTTCCCAATACGACGATCTCAAATAGAAAAAATCGTTAAAAGTGCGGAAAATGGGAAAAGTGCGGGGTACGATAAATTACCGTATGAAGTTTTAAAGTTTCCCATCATAATCGATGTTTTGTTTTCGTTGTTTAGATTATGCTTTGAAAAAGGAATCACCCCATAGACTTGTACATATGGGTGATGATAGACTCACAAAGAAAGTGTTTTTGTATGATTATACTACTATTGGAAATACATGGTGTTCAGACGTTAAGCATATTCTACAACAAGTAAATATGTCACATTTGTATGAAAACAAACTTGCGGTTGATTTAAACAATATTGAAGACTCTTTACTTTTAATATACAAATTGAATTGGTCTAACAATGTTACAAATGTGGCAAAACTGAGAACATATGACATTCAAACAAGACTATGAAACAGAAAAATATCTCGTGTCTTCCTTAACTAAAGCAAGTTTATATAAATCATAGAAAGCACGAGTGCATAATAATATTGTGTTTGAATTGGTTCTAAACGCTTAAACAGCGCTGGCTTGTATAGAACATACAAAATGTTCAAAAACTATTCCCTCTTTCTTAGTGCAGTAAAATATATTTCCCTACACATTACGTCGGATAAAAGTAACTTAAAAGAAAGTTTCATTAAACCAAGTCTGCGTTTTCTGTAGACGGGTCTCTTCTTTTTACATTTTCTATTAGTTTTATTGTTGTTTTTAATGTGTTTTTTTTTCTGTATTTTTTATTTTATTTTATTTTATTTTATTTTATTTTTTTTCGGGGGGGGGGGGGGGGTAATATCGAATTTAAAATAGATGACTTTAACTGTCTATTAAGAAAGAAGATATGAAAGAAGTTGCATGCTCGGATCATACGGATGGTTAATTCTTTTCATGGACCATAGAAAGTGACGCATACTACTTCCTGATTATCATGTTTTATTTTATACTGGTGTATTGACAACAATGTGATATGTATATGTAGATATAAGATGCAATACATGTCACAACGAGACTGGAAATATTATAACATTCATTATCTTACATCCTATTATAATTTAAATAAATTTGTCCAATTCTTATGGGATTAAATATTTTATATGCAATAACGTAAATACCGTGCAGAACCGGAGCATGCACAATGAACAATGTATTTCTACACCACAGACAGTAAATAAAAGTTTGTCCATAACATTTGTATTGAGTTTTGATGCTTATGTTTAAAAAAAATACGTCACAACACACTTGAATTACATTTTTTATTGCTCAGCGTTAGTGTAGCCAGAGACATTAATGTTATCTATGTCTCTGGCGTAGCCGTTGATGAGGTGCATCTACATCCGCTCCTTTAAGAAACAGTCTAAAGATGCCGGGATTTCTTATGAAATTGTCGTCCTAAACAATTTGCGTAATTATAATATCGTTATATATAAGTATTGGCGGGATATACGGGCGAATATAACCTTCCTGATATAACCCACGGCTCTTGCCTCGGACCATGTTCTCCCGCATATCCCGTCAGCAACTTTTATATCTAAAAATATACAAAACGTGGGTCATTATGCTTTTCTTCAATAATTTACGGACTGATGTGGACATGGCATACCTAAAATGTAAAGACGTCAAAAAGAATTCGAACACTTAATAATCATTACAAATGTAAGAAATGATTGTAGAAATCCTAATGTTATATACTTTAATGAAAAAAAAATTGTATCAACCTTATTTCATGTAATCTTTAGAGACATCTAATAAAAGTAGTCGTATTTATAAAGCGTAGTTTTGTAAACGAAAGAAAATACCAAATAGCTGTAATAGAAAATACATTGTTTATCAATACATATTGAACAATCAATTATCAAAAGAATGTAAATGCATAATATACAGATCTACTTCTGCACGGGGACATGGGTAGGTCTGTCTTGAGAATAAAAAGAGAAATTCCAAATGAAACATTGAGATGACAATGGATTCCAGAATTCATTTTACTGTTTCTCGACCGGATTTGATGAAACATCTATGTTTTTTGCGTTGTCTTATTTATTTGATGCAAAAGAAAACAACTCCGGATGGTAAGTAAGCCCATTATTTCAGGAACAAACAGACTCATTGCATGGAAGTTCTTCTTTTCGGCAAGTTGCTTTTCAATCCTTTATGAAAAACATTTAGATCTTTATGGAAGAACATGTAATCAGTTATGACTCATGCATAGAAAATTGTGAAACATCATTTATAACATAATCTGATGGCTTTTTGTCAACTGGATCCTTAACCGACAAAATGCCAAAAAAGTATATTTACTTCGTGAATATTAAGTATAATCCATTTTCTGTAAATAAAATAATTCCATTTAAAGCTGCATGGATCAAGATGAGCAAACAATATGTCAACAAATAAATCTTGAAAGTGTACTAAGATCTTAAGAAAAGTTAAGATTCAAGTTTCAAGAAATATTCTAGATGTTATGAATGTTTTGCAGCATTTCCTACATGTAAATTGCTTTCTTTGTTCTTTTCACACTTTTAAATACATTTTCAAAATATTCACGAATATAACCATGGATCTAAGGGGTTTCTGCTTTAACGCTGTTGAATATTATCCAAAAATTTCATAAACAGATTCTTCATTTTGTTGCTGCTTTCTTCAAGATCTTATTTGATTTCATTGTTTGTTTTCTTTTTTTCTTTTTTTTTTGTTTGTTTTGTTTTGATTTTCCTGGGGTTTTTTTGTTTTTTTTTTGTTTTTTGTTGTTGTTACAATTTGAGCCAAATCATTTTCTTTTCAGAACTTTTGACTGCTTATATAGTCGGTATTGATAAGACGAACTAACTAAAAGTTTGTGATATGTATTTTAATCAGCATTCAACTTGCATATTTTGTATTGTCTTCCTCAGAAGAAGGCTTTGAAAGATTGTTAATAATTATCGTGACTTCTCCTTCAATCACTTTTGGTACAGTGTTGTCACATGCCTCGTCCATTAAAGTTCGACCAGCGTGTGATTGGCAAGCATGATTGTTTGTTTCTTGGACACTTGTAGGGGTTGCTTCAGGAGATGTTTTCTCGCGTTTCCCTTTGATAATATCTGGATCAATGTTCGACTGGTTCGTGGTACTGGAATCATCATTAGCGGTCTTTTGTAAAAGTCCCTCATCATTTTTAATGTCACCTGTACGTTCCTCTTTACAGCCGATCGAAGAGGTTTCTGAACCCAAGCCATTAAGGAAGAACACTGGCCTTTTGCTGTTGGTTTGGTCGTCATCTGATATGGAGCTGCTCGATCCGGTAGGTGAAGGGTTATATTGTTCGGCCTCTTCCGAAAATTTGCGATCATCATCTTTCAGGTCTTTGGAAAGTCTCTGAAAAAATCCATACATTGAAATAGTGTAAGTATAATTAATTCTGATATATCTGTCTTGTTTCCCATCTAGTTTGCTTGAATATGATCAAGGCATAGGCTTGTAAATACATTTACTTCGTACACGTATCTTTCAGTTAGCGCTTGTAGCTAAGCAACACAAATTCATAACAATGACATGGTTATGGCAAAAACATCTAAGTAATTTAAGAGCCGTTTTAAAGCAAAAGGTATTTTCTTACGTTTGATGATTGCTCCGAATTGCTTGATACTACAGACACTGAAAAGGAAAAATATTTAACATGAATATTGCTAAAGACTTAAAGATTATTTGGAAAAAAAAGAAATTTGAGACAAATGTAATTAGATATTTATATATGTTCAATCAATGCTTAGATGTGCTTTTTGTGGTTTTTAAAGTCATTTTCTTCGACTGAAAGTTCCTTCGTCGCTACGGTTTTGAATCTAGCCAGGGATTATGAATCATACCATGTAAGCTATTCAGCAAGCTTAATGAAGGTTTGTGGTTTTACTCAGATGTCCGCTACTTGCTGAAATAATGTCAGGAGGGTAACCAGAGATATTCCCGCCACATGAACAGTTTAACCATCACCAAAATAACCTTTACAAATAAGGTTATGAAATTTCTCTTTCTTTTAAGATGTCAGTATGAAATAATCTCCGCTCATGTTTTGTTTGTGTTACCTTTGCATGAACGAAAATAAATGGATACTTACAGCGAGAACTGGAAGTGTAACCACTGTCTCCTGTAATGCACAAATAGAAATAAAATACATTTCAGGGAAAAAAAGAACTAGCTATAGCAACTCATTATTGTTATATAGTTATAATTTATAGTGTTTGATTTTCCTTAAACTGTGCGACTCTAGTTGATGTAAAATATTTGTACAATCAAACATAATAAATGAAACATAATGAAGAATTTATTTGATGTTCAACGTATGGCTGAGTAAAATTAACTAGCTGTATAATCAATAGTAACTGTCGTCATCTATTTGTGCATGTTTTGAAACAATATAAGCAAATTTTATATAGATAATGAGAGTCTATGACTGGCTTAAATAAGTTTATTTGTACTTTTAACAATATTTATACTGTTTAAACATCGCATTTAGTTATATTCAACAGGATTTTAGAGACGTAATGCTTTAGCATGTATGCTTTTGTTTTGACCAAATAACAAAATTTACATGTCTTATTGAAATATACATGTCTTATTTTTCATGCTATCCAGTATAAGTGATAATATACAAAAATATATGTCAGGTGTAACGTAATATTTCAGTATGTAAATAACAATAATGCAACCATTTCATCTGCATTTTTACTTCCTCATACAGTTTAGCCTAAATTTCAATTCATTTAAATTTCGTGAAAAACTTAATTTCGCAATACTTATTTCATATTCAGTGCTGTATATTTGTATTTAGATCCGCCTCTATTATGATATACTGTATATAATTCTCATTTATATAAGAAAAAATGTATATTGCTCGCGAATAGATACTTTGGTTTAAAAAATTGAATTTGCTTGCCCCAGAACGTGTTAAAATTACAAAACTATAAGTAATAATTTACTTCACAAAATTCTCTTAGAAAATAATTTGAATTCACGATTACAAATTATCTGACTTCAAAAAACATTTCATTAAATAATTTACCTCACGACACTCACTTAGTAAAAAACTTTCTTCACAAAACTCATGACGTAAATAATTTACCTCAAGACACTCACTTAGTAATGAACTTTCTTCACAAAACTCATGACGTAAATAATTTACCTCACGACACTCACTTAGTAATGAACTTTCTTCACAAAACGCATGACGTAAATAATTTACCTCACGATACTCACTTAGTAATAAACTTTCTTCACAAAACGCATGACGTAAATAATTTACCTCACGACACTCACTTAGTAATAAACTTTCTTCACAAAACTCCTGACGTAAATAATTTACCTCAAGACACTCAATTAGTAATAAACTTTCTTCACAAAACTCATGACGTAAATAATTTACCTCACGACACTCACTTAGTAAAAAACTTTCTTCACAAAACTCCTGACGTAAATAATTTACCTCAAGACACTCAATTAGTAATAAACTTTCTTCACAAAACTCATGACGTAAATAATTTACCTCAAGACACTCAATTAGTAATAAACTTTCTTCACAAAACTCCTGACGTAAATAATTTACCTCACGACACTCACTTAGTAAAAAACTTTCTTCACAAAACGCATGACGTAAATAATTTACCTCACGACACTAACTTAATAATGAACTTTCTTCACAAAACTCCTGACGTAAATAATTTACCTCACGACACTCACTTAGTAAAAAACTTTCTTCACAAAACTCATGACGTAAATAATTTACCTCAAGACACTCAATTAGTAATAAACTTTCTTCACAAAACGCATGACGTAAATAATTTACCTCACGACACTCACTTAGTAAAAAACTTTCTTCACAAAAACTCATGACGTAAATAATTTACCTCAAGACACTCAATCAGTAATAAACTTTCTTCACAAAACGCATGACGTAAATAATTTACCTCACGACACTCACTTAGTAAAAAACTTTCTTCACAAAACTCCTGACGTAAATAATTTACCTCACGACACTCACTTAGTAATGAACTTTCTTCACAAAACTCATGACGTAAATAATTTACCTCACGACACTCACTTAGTAATAAACTTTCTTCACAAAACTCCTGACGTAAATAATTTACCTCACGACACTCACTTAGTAATAAACTTTCTTCACAAAACTCATGACGTAAATAATTTACCTCACGACACTCACTTAATAATGAACTTTCTTCACAAAACTCCTGACGTAAATAATTTACCTCACGACACTCACTTAGTAATAAACTTTCTTCACAAAACGCATGACGTAAATAATTTACCTCACGACACTCACTTAGTAATAAACTTTCTTCACAAAACGCATGACGTAAATAATTTACCTCACGACACTCACTTAGTAATGAATTTTCTTCACAAAACGCATGACGTAAATAATTTACCTCAAGACACTCACTTAGTAATAAACTTTCTTCACAAAACGCATGACGTAAATAAATTACCTCACGACACTCACTTAGTAATGAACTTTCTTCACAAAACGCATGACGTAAATAATTTACCTCAAGACACTCACTTAGTAATAAACTTTCTTCACAAAACGCATGACGTAAATAATTTACCTCACGACACTCACTTAGTAATAAACTTTCTTCACAAAACTCATGACGTAAATAATTTACCTCACGACACTCACTTAGTTATAAACTTTCTTCACAAAACTCATGACGTAAATAATTTTCCTCACGACACTCACTTAGTAATAAACTTTCTTCACAAAACTCATGACGTAAATAGTTTATTTCATAACACTTTGTTAGTAAATAATATACTTCACGCATATGGTAAATAAATTACTTCAAAAGAACTCAGTTAAAGTATAATTTGTTTGGAAAAAAAAACTCATTAAGTAAAAAAATCATTTCACAAATCTCACTAAGTAGGTATTAACTCAAAATAATCTTACTTATTTTAAAAAACAAAGCATGCACACTCTTGCATTCTTAGGTCGTGAAATGATTTAATTAAAAAAATAACTGTCTTGGTTAAATGACACTAGATTACACTATTCCCGCTCCAAAATTACATGAATTAGTTTTATTTTTGCCCATAAATCACAAATCCACTCAGAAATATAAGATATGAGATTATGTTTATCTAAAGATTGAACTAGATATGATCAACCGTTCTTATTGATTTATATAGATATGTATAGAGACATGTACATGGGCTAAGTTTGCGTAATGCATGTATGAAATAAAAAACATTAATATTTTTGAGTTTTTCTTTCTTTCATTGTTATTATTTGTTTCCTTGTTCGAGTTTCAAAATCAGTAACATTATCGGCATCATCATCGACAGCACCAGCAGCTTTTTTCTGTCTGTTTCCTTTTTCACTTCTGCTATTTTATCATCATAATCACCACCACCATTCTCTTTCCTTCTTCTCTACAGTAACTGCTTTTTTATTATTCTTATTATCATCATCATCATCATCGTCATAAACATCATCATCGTCATCGTCATCATGACCATCATGATAATGATGATCATCATCATTTTCATCATTTTAATTTTGAAGAAAAAATATTTTCTTACGATCAGCAGATGGTCCTCTTATGAATGGAGCGCGTCTTTCGGGTACTTCTAAATGTGCTCCGCCCGGTGAACAAGCCTAAAATATATATAGTAAAATACCTTCATACAAAATGATAGTACTAAAAACTAAACGATTTAATTTTTTATGTAAAAGCAAATGTCAAAGTGTTAAAGATCTTTAGATAAGTTTTTTAAAAATATTATTAGTTGTTGGTTTTTTTGTGTTTTTTTTTCCTTAGGAAATTGCATTGGGTTCACATTGTTTAGTTTTTACAGCATTTATTAAAGTCCGAATTTTTCACGAGCCTATAAATTTATGAATAAAAAACTATTGAATGCGTTCCAAACACTGAGTGTAAAGTTCTTGCTCAAGGAAACTACGTCTTGTCCCCCGGCAGATAATATAACTGACACGTGAACATATCCACAGTGACACTCTTTAGGAATTCTGATCACGCTGACATAGGCCACTATGCAAGTTTTCTTGAAAATTATATACATTAAATAGGAATTGTATTTAATACAACCAAAATAATCATAAACAATTCATACTTTGAAATATTGACATTTACAATGTATGTGAAGTAGAACCATTTTGAAATGCTAATAAAAACTGTCTATTTTTAGAAACTAGGTTTTAAATAGAAAAAAACTCTTGGCCAAGTTAACGTTGTTTTTATTTGTTGTTGTTGTTGCTGCTGCTGCTGGAGGTGGTGGTGGTGGTTGTTAATGTTGTTGTTGTTGTTGTTGTTGTTGTCGTCGTTTTTTGTTGTTTTTTATTGATGTTATTATTATTATTATTATTATTTGATTTTATTTTATTTTGTTTTATTGTTTTATGTTTTTTTTACATAAATAAGTTAGTTTTAAAATTTTTCGTCTAAAACTGTATGAAAGTTGTCCTATTTTTTATATTTAAATGATATAAAACAACTGTGAGTAACGTACTTTTACACCACAGTTGATAAAGCAGCTTGAAGAAGATTTTTAAACATTTTAAAAAAATACCTGTAGAAGATCCCTTTGAAAATTTTCAATTTTATTTTTCATTTCATCGAGTTTTTCCTGTAAATTTTTAATCGTTTTGCTCTCCGGCTCAGAAATTTTCTTCATTGATCGTTTGATATAGAAAAGACCAAATGATTCCTCTAGCTCATTACTGACTTTTTCTACTACTCTATCTAATTCCAAGACACTTTCTTTCTTGAGAATAAACTCATCTGCCATGGTTTTATCTATATCAAGTATTTCTGTGTCCGTAGAAGAGTTACAATCTAGTTTACACGTATCTATTTGACAGCGCACACTTTTACTTTTTAATTGTTTTATCTAATAATTTAAGTTCCTTTTTTATTTCATTTTCGTACAAAGTTTAAAGTTCTTGTGGTCAGAACTTTAAATATTTGAATTAAAAATATGTTGATTATTTTTCATTTTGTTGTACACACGATCAAATATAAATTCCTGTCCACTGTTACAAAATTATTTTTCATTTTCTATTTAATTCCTTTAAAATTCATGTGAATTATTTAATTTTTAAAACGTTTATTTTTTTAATCAAAAAGTATATTTATCACAGCAAATCATCTCCGTTAACACTTCTAGTAAGTTATGAACTAAATATATCAATAAAAGATAAAATACACACAAAGAAAATATTTTCGATAGGGAAAATTGTCTTCCGTCTTTGAACGCGGAAGATGACCAGCTTTTAATATTTTTATAACTTTTTAAATACTTGTACGTATAATACAACAGCTATATGAGTAATAGATAGATTATATCTCCAGGTATAAGATAAACTATTCACACTGAAAGTCCATAAAAACAGGAGGAAGTCTTATCATAATGATTTTAACGCAATGCACATTTTTAATCATCTACCTTGTCCATTTTAATATACGTGTTATATAATAATACTGTCAAAATTGGCCCCACTGAATGTTTACATAACCTAACCAAAATCAGGGCTTTGTCGTATGTCTATTGATCTACCGAGTTCAATATGTGTCATTAAATTATATTTTTCGGATATATTGAATATGATAAATGGATTTGATTTACTTTGAATTGGAACGTTCAAGACACTTTTATATCAAATACAAAATAATTAGAATGCCTATTGGTTCAAGTAGGTTAATGATTTCACAAAAAATCCCCACGTCCCTTATTAAGATTAGCGCGTTGCTCAATGTCATCTTTGCCGGATTATCTGACACATATAGCAACAATTTCAAACCGCATCTTCAAATAAAATTACTAAAAGGATTTTATTCAAAATCGTATGCAGTTAATTAAGATGTATGGTTAAGTACTTAGAATCAGTTGAATATTATATGTAACAGTGAATTAATCTATTTCATTTAACTTCAGACTCCTATAATCTCGTCCCTTATGCACTTATATTTGACTTAATCTTTTAGATCACGTTCATAGTACATTTTTTTTAATATCAACAAATAAATGGAGATGTTTTTTGTTAAGGATACATTGTCTACCTCATTAAAGCATTAACTTCCTTGAATATTAAAATTTTACACTACCCTGGAGTTTCGAAACATACATGTATAAATCGTCTTCCTTTTTGTTTAAAAGATATTTATTTTATCTTGATTGTGATACCTGATGAAAAACCATAAAAACTGCAAAACAAGATTTTTTGGTTTCAAGTTATTGGATATATTTTAAAATTATTAAGATAAAAGATAAAATGTTGCATTTGGAATATTGAGCTACATGGAAGCATGCGGATGTGCAATTGTGACATATTCGTAATATATTTCGTCAATGATATATGTATCAGGTGTTTTCAAATTTTCAAATCTTCCTGGTTCATAAAAGTGGCTTAATTTACATTTAATTTACCTCTCTCTTTTTATAATTTATCGAAATAAATTATTTGAATTCTGATAAGTTTTTTTTTTCTAGAGAGAGAAAGTTGATGTAATGTGAATTGTTCTTCAATGGAAGGTCTGTAATTCCTCAAATAATCATGTAGTATTTAGTTTGATATGTGATAAAAAAAACGAAATATATAATTATATTCATGTTGTTGATAAGTGTGAGATGCACATCTATTTATACAGCGTTTAATAAAATGTCCTAGAAAAAAATCTCCATCATATAAATGTCCGTATTTAATGTTCATTTTATACTTTGCTAGAAATATTCTTTAAGAACATCTAAACTGTACATTTCTATTGTTTTGATTAAATCTTAAATACCTAATGAAATTGTACGAATTGTACACCAATTCGCTTTATGATTTATCATTTGATAAAGTCTATTACTAGTAAGTAGACGGTAGTTACGGATGCCGCAAACCAGGGCATCGGAGTGAGTTTCAAATGACATGTTTATAAATTCTCTAATAGGTTCTATTTTATTTTTTATACAATGGTTTACAATGACATGAGTAGGACGAATATTACAACATGACTTATGCTTCCGGATTCTTTATTATGGGAAAATAGTTAAATTGATATTTTTGGCTTATTTCCAACAGTGTTACTTTTTCTGTATATAGATTAAAGATGAGATAGCTGACAATTGCGTACGAATTCAAGTCGCATTAATTCGAATTACAAAATATTCTAATGTGAATGTCCTTTGAAAAAAATGTGAATATCCTTTGAAAAACACAGATTGACTTCAAATAGTTGCCTATTTTCTCAAAAACCTTCAAAGTTATTCACTTCAACTTTGGAATCTTTTCAAGGACAGGTTAGTCTGCAGAATTATGTCCATTTTCTGTGTAGCTTTAATTTAACCATTTAGCACTAAGAAAAATGGAGCGCGCTGTCCTAAATAGTTAAATTAAAGCTACATAGAAAAGAGATATAAGCAAAAACGGCTTACAGGATTATCTGCCCCTTTAAGATTTGCATGTTAATAACAACAAGTTTAACCTGAATCTCTATGACACTTTTTGAGAATTGTACTCGAAACAAAGAATTTCAGTCAAAAAATGGGGGCATATCTGAGAAAAACTTAATATTAGATTTACCTGACCTTTTGAAAGATATTCCAGTGTAAGAACCGGACAAGTATTTTACATTTTAAGTGACTTACTCCCCGTTTTGAAGAATTTGACCCTAGAAGGAGACAAAAAAATGAGTAAAAGGGGGGCATAATAAAGGTCGTTTTAGGATTTGCCTTTGGTGTCATTTCACTTAAATCATTTATGTTCCGATCAGAGGTTTGTGAACGTAATTTTCAGTTCGATTACGACGTTTATGTAGTACTGAGTACCGATTCAAGCAATAAAATGATATAAATCACATGCATTCACACCAGCTGAAAGTTGGCGGGGATTCGAATGTTTGAACAAAATACGTCCTTTTGAGATACCGGTGAAAGAGCAAATTTGGCGCTTTGCTCTGCTTCAATGTTTAAATTGACTTTGAATAATTTGGTATCGGTTTGTTTATATGTGACGCAATTCATCTGATGTCATCGGTTACGTAGGTTGGCCACCCTGATTAATATGTAATAGTTATAGTAAATGAAACGAGTGAGTTACGAGGATATAACACTGACTGGGACGACATCAAGAGGTGTTTCTGTTAAAAAATGGCGAGGCCGTAAGGCCGAGACACCTTTTTTTGCAGAAACATCCCGAGATGTCGCACAGCCAGTGTTATACCCCCCGTTAACCAACGAGTTTCATATACTTTAACTGTTTTATCGCAATGACGTAATTTTCTTTTTTTGTAATAGAAATAAATAAATAACTCGTTAGCTACATTACAGTTATTAAGATAAGGCATCCAATGTTAGAGGCGGGTTGTAAGCTGTTACCAAGATTGATTCAAGGTTAAATGGCCTTTTTTTCAGTGGAAATACTTCATTCAGCGGATGTACCTTTAGATTAAATGAGAGTAAATTTCATTTCATTAATTATCTTTGTTTATATTTTTCATTGTATTTATATATATTTATATATTTATTTTATTATATTGATTTCATTTTTTTATTTAATCTTTTTATACTGGGAATGGCCGTTACCACTGCAACCATTGCAGCCTCTATGAAAAAAAACTGCATTGATATATACAAGGTGCGAAAAAAACTCGACCGATTTATAACAGTCGAGTTTTTCCCTATATGAATCAATGAAAAAATCTGTACTGTTATATATCAATACCGTTTTCAAATGCTCATTGAAGTGTATAGAGTATAATGGGTTAGTAACAGCAAAGGAAAAGTTCCAAACCATGCGATAATTTCAAGACATCGGACTAAATTAAGATGTAGGCCAAATATCGAAAAAAAAAGCACAATAATATCTGGATATATTGACATTTATTTTTAGATCTACTTCCTTGATGATGTGAAATGTTTAAAGTTGTAGATAACAGTGTAAACGTACCTGTATTTACACGTTTGTTATCCCAGTCCTAAAAATACTTTTCTTTCTACGGTATCTAAAAGCGAATGATAAATCATTATTGAAAAGTATGTAGTTCTTTTAAATTATACCTTTAAATTACCCCGTTTTGGGTGATGCATTTTTCTTGCGTTAAAATCGGTATTCATGCTCAGTTTGAAAGATGTTTGAGGAGTTTTTCTTATACCTGTCTAGGCATGGATTGATATTCTTGATGGAAAAGTGATACCAGTATGGATGACAAATTTTCTAAGATTCAGTTAAAGGGAAATTTAAACACCATCAGATAACAACATATGATTGAAACACAAACTTTTGATTAATCAAATGTGATAATGTTTGTTTGTTTGGATATTTACGGCACGTCAACACATAACTGGCCATATCGTGCAGAATGCTATAATAGGCTTAAAATGTTATGTTAAACTTTAGGATATGTTGCCTGCTTTTTTAATTTGTCTTTTGACGTCTTATCTGTGATACGCAGGCTTCATAACCTCTGATCCCCTTTCAAAATTCCATTTTATTTAGTTCCGCCCATTGTTTTCTCGTTTAGGGCACACGCTTTTTATTACTTGGGGACCATACGCCGCTTTTCATGGAATGGCACGGTAGTGTCACATTGAAGGTTCCGTGATAACCGCCGTATGAACACATCTGCGGATGTTTCTAAATTCAAAATTTTACTATTTCATGTTTAAATGTTGAATTCTGCTTAAGCCGGTGCTAGGGGGCGTGGACGGTAACTTGCACTTTCCAGTACCGTTCATGAACAGGCTCAATCAAACCGAGCCTGCAACATTTTCAATTTTGCCGTGTTGGGCTTTCTTTAGGGATTCTGTATTTATCTATTTTATGATCACATCCGTGTTATTTGTGCCGTGTGGCGGCTGTAAAAAGTCTCCCCGTACATTTAATCAATGATGTTATATTTTCGATCCTTGAATATCGTTCAGCACGACATTATTGTTGTGCTTGTGGTATTTTTAGTTTCAACTTTTCGGCATTTTCTAGTTGGGTGGTTCCAATACTCCTACTTGAATAATGTTGAATCACCCTTAGGATATGTTGCCTGCTTTTTTAATTTGTCTTTTGACGTCTTATCTGTGATACGCAGGCTTCATAACCTCTGATCCCCTTTCAAAATTCCATTTTATTTAGTTTCGCCCATTGTTTTCTCGTTTAGGGCACACGCTTTTTATTACTTGGGGACCATACGCCGCTTTTCATGGAATGGCACGGTAGTGTCACATTGAAGGTTCCGTGATAACCGCCGTATGAACACATCTGCAGATGTTTCTAAATTCAAAATTTTACTATTTCATGTTTAAATGTTGAATTCTGCTTAAGCCGGTGCTAGGGGGCGTGGACGGTAACTTGCACTTTCCAGTATTGTTCATGAACAGGCTCAATCAAACCGAGCCTGCAACATTTTCAATTTTGCCGTGTTGGGCTTTCTTTAGGGATTCTGTATTTATCTATTTTGTAAATGACAATGAAAATGAACCAATTAGATCCTAGAATACAAGTTTTAATGTTGTAGGGGTTTTTTGTTGTTTTTTTTGTGTGTTTTGTTGTTGTTTTTTGTTGTTGTTTTTTTGTGGTTTTTTTTTGTTTGTTTGTTTTGTTTTTTTTGGGGGGGGGGGTTAATATCGCATTTTAAATAGAGTACTTTAAGTGTCTATTAAGAAAGAAGATATGAAAAAAGTTGCATGCTCGGATCATGCGGATGGTTGATTCTTTTCATGGACCATAGAAATTGACGCATACTACTTCCTGATTATCATGTTTATTTTATACTGGCGAATTCACAACAATGTGATATGTATATGTGGATAGAACATGCAATACAATGTCACAACGAGACTGGAAATATTATAACATTCAATATCTTACATTCTATTATAATGCAAATAAATTGTCCAATTCTGATGGGCTTAAATACTTTATATGCAATGCCGTAATGTGGCAAACCTAGAATGTAAAGACGTCAAAAAGTAACCTAACAATTAATAATTCATTACAAATGTAAGAAATGAATGCAGAAAGCTTAATTTTTATGTACTAAAATTTTAATGAATGTCAAAGCATAATATCTGGATCTACTTCTGCACGGGATACCTGGGAACGTTTGTCTTGGGCAAATGTTGTGCACATTTCTCAGAAAAATGAGAAATGCAAAATGCAACATTGAGATGACAGTGGATTCCAGCATTCATTTTAATGTTTCTCGACCGGATTTTATGAAACATCAATGTTTTGTGCGTTGTCTTATTTATTTGATTAAAAAAACTCTGGATGGTAAATAATCCCATTATTCAGGAACAAACGGACTCATTTTTTCTTTTCAATCTTTTGTGAAAATATTTACTTCTGTTAGTTAAGAAAATTGTAAAACATCATTTGTAACTTAATTTCTTGTCCATTGGATCACCAACTGATAAATCCCCAAAAAAGAATATTTACTTCGTGAATATAAAGGAAAAGAAGTTTGAATAATCCATTTTCTTTATGCAATCATTCAATGTAACGCTGTCGAACACTTTACACAGCTTAAACAGAGTTGTTTTTTGTTGTTGTTGCTGTTGTTGTTGTTGTTGTTGTTGTTGTTGTTGTTGTTGTTGTTGTTGTTGTTGTTGTTGTTGTTGTTGTTGTATTTCTTTTCGGGATTTATTTTGGTTCAAAAGCATAAATGTTGAATGTTGATTAGCATTGGAGTCAAACGCTTTCCCTTTTCAGAGCTTTTAAATGCTTATAAAGTTCCCAATATTGCAAAAGACAAAGTAATAGATTACGTTTTGCCTGTTTTATTCTACATTCACCGTATATTTTGTGTTGTCTTCCTCAGAAGAACGCTTTGAAAGATCGTTAATAATAACTGGTGCAGTGTTGTCGTCTTCTGTTTTGATTACTTTTGGGACAGTCTCGCTACAAGGCGTATTCATCGAACACTGAACTGCAGGTGGTTGGCAAATTTGATCGTTTGCAATCATTGCAGGAGGCAATCCTTCAAATCGTCCTTTGATAGCATATGGACCAGTGAGTGACTGCGCTGCATCATCATCAATCTTTTTAACAACATCGTCTTCACCTTTTATGGTACTGATATTCTTTTCCTTAAATTCGGTCAGAGACGTTTCCAAATCAAAAACTTTGATATAGAACTTGGTGTCGCTGCCTGTTTGGTTGTCGTCTGAAACGGAGCTGTTCGAACCGGACCGTGAAGGGTTAAATAGTTCTGCATCGTCCGAAGGTATCCGATCGTGATCATCATCTTTTATGTCTAATTTGGAAAGTCTCTGAAATAATTAAAACATAGAAACAAAGTAAAGATACCGTCAGATGATTTAATAATGTTTGTTGTTGTTGTTTTTATCGCAGGTTTTTTATCGATTTTTGTAAATGTCCATCGGAATTTTTACCTGCAACATTCAATTTAGAGTAAAGAGTTGGGCAGTCCTTTTATATATTAGTTTGATTTATGTTTTATCATAAACATTTTCAAATATCAACTGTTGGTCATTCACCGTTTTAAGAGGCAATCGTTTGAAATATATTATATTATAATATTTCATTAATTAATTCACCTCAACTTGATAATGAACGTCACTTTAATGTTTGCAGAGTGTACACGTATTTTTTAATTATCGTTTTACATTTTTCTTTCGTATGCAAAGCATGGTTATATATGACAAGATTAAGGTAAATGTTTTCTAAAATAATATTAGAGCCGTTGTAAAGCAAAAGCATGTCCTTACGTTCTCTGATTGGGTCGAATTGTTTGATGCCACAGACACTGAAAAAGAAAAAAATACATGAATATTGTTACAGATCGTGAAAAGTATTTGACATAAAATGAAATTTGAGACAAATGTAATTACATGTTTATATATGTTCATCAATGTGCCGATGTTGTGTTGTGGTTATTAAAGTAATTGGCTTCTCGACTGAAAGTTCCTTCGTCACTTCTGTTTTGAATCTAGTCAGGTATTATGAATCATATCACATAAGCTATTCAGCTAGCTTAAGGGAGATTTGTGGTTTTACTCGGATGTCCGCTACTGACAGAAATAAATTTCGAGGGTAACCTGAGATATTACCGCCACCTGAAACGCTTAACAACCACCAAAATGACCTTTACAATTGGAATTAGAACCTTTTGGGCAATCAAAACAATTAAGCAGCGCGTATTCGATGAAATTGCAATATATTAACATGTCCTATTATATTTTTCTTTTAAATGTATCAAAGAGCGTTACCAATGGTATTTTTGAAAGCATAGAATTTTGACAGCATCACAATGTGAATGTAAACGGATCATGTTTGGCGCTGATGAAGGCTTCTAGCCGAAACGTCTACAATATGCAATATATAATTACAGAATGTTCGTGTTTGTGTGGATTGTTTGTAAAATGTTACCTTTTTTAAATATGTAAAATATTTGTCACGTGAATAGTCAAATAAAGTTCTGAAATTTCTCTTGCTTTTCAGATGTTAGTGTGAAATAATTTCCGCACATGTTTTGTTTGTGTTAACAATGCATGTATGATAATAAATGGATACTTACAGCGAAGATCGGAAGTGTAGCCACTGTCTCCTGTAAAGTACAGATAGAAATAAAATTAACAGAAAAAAGATTAATTAGTCATGACATTTACAGATAATCATTGTTTTGCAACTCAATTTGACTAATGCAATATTTGAACAATTAAGCTCCATTAATGATACACTTGATTTTTTTTTAAAGTACAGATATAACTACATGTACTTGTATATTTAATTGTATAGTCAGTCATATTTCAAACCTTAAAACCATTTTTAAGTGCCGAGATCCTATTATTTTTTATATATATTTTTTTCATATTGATAACATACAAAAGCATGTTACAGGTGCAACGTAATATTTATGTATGTAAATAACAATAATTGCATAATCATTTCATCTGCATTTTAACTTCCTTATTCGTTTGGCCTACATTTCAATTCCTTTAATTATCATGAAAAATTCATTTCACAAAACTCACTAAGTAGATACATATTACTTAATAAAATATGGTGCTGGCAATGTACAATCTTGCATTCATAGGTTGTGAAATAATTTTAAAATTGCAAAAAACTAACTGTCTGAATTAGATGAATCTCGACTGTTGATAAATAGAAATATAAGATATAAGATTGTGTTGAACTAGATACGATACAACCGAACCTATTGATTTATATAGACAGAGACATGTACATGGGCTAAGTTTGCAAGTAAATGAAAACATGAATATTTCCGATTTATTTCTTTTATTGTTATTGTTTGTTTCCTTGTTCGAGTTTCATCATAGTCATCATCATCGAAAGCAGCAGCAGCAATTTTTTCTGTCTGTTTCCTTTTCCACCATTGGTATTTTATCATTATAATCACCACCACCTTTCTCTTTCCTTTTTCACTACAGTAACTGCTATTTTATTATTATCATTATCATCATCATAATCGTCATTGTGACCATCATGATGATGATCATTATCATCATCATCATTTTAATTTTGAAGAAAAAATATTTTCTTACGATCAATAGGTGGTCCTCTTATAAATGGAGTGCGTCTATCCGGCACTTCTAAATGTGCTCCGCCGAGTGAGCAAGCCTAAAATATATATAGTAAAATACCTTCATACAAAATGATAGTACTACAAAACTAAACGATTTATTTTTTCCTGTTAAAGCCAATGTCAATAAAGTGTTAAAGATCTTTAGATAAGTTTTTTTCCAGATATTATTAGTTGTTGGGGTTTTTTGTGTTGTTTTTTCCGTAGGAAATTGCATTGGGTTCACATTGTTTAGTTTTTACAGCATTTATTAAATAATATTTATGAATAAAAAACTATTGAATCCGTTCCAAACAATGAATGTAAAGTTCTTGCTCAAGGAAGCCACGGCTTGTCCCCCGGCAGATAACATAACTGACACGTCAACTTATCTACAGTGACACTCTTTAGGAATTCTGATCACGCTGACATAGGCCACTATGCAAGTTTTCTTGAAAATAATATACATTAAATAGGAATTGTATTTAATACAACAAAAAAAAAATGTTAAACACTTTAAAATGTTGACATTTACAGACAATGTATGTGAAGTAGAACCATTTTGAAATATTAAGTTGAATAGGTTCCCTACAATTATTTCTGTCTTTGTGTTGTAAACCGATTTTATTACAGCATATATAGAAATTCAACTCTGAAAGTTGAATTTGGACGTGTTCTGTCAATCCCGTAGCCCCCACACACAGGGTATATGTTAAAAGGGGTGTTTTCTTTCCCGAACGAGCAATTTTTCAGTAACAATTTCTCGATAAGGAAAGTGAGAAGGATAATATCTAATTTTCCCGTTTAGAAAGATTGTTTATTAAAAGCAATGGGTTTTATAATCGCTTCACAAAGACACAAATTTGGGAAATATGTTATTTACAACATATAAAAATGACAAATCGGGTAATTGAAATAAATAAATAAATAAAAAAAAGTTCAGAAAAATGCTAAGTGTTCCAAAAAAAATCTGCAGTGACTTCTGCCAAAATTGTATTTATGAATCTTATGATCTTATTGAAAAAAATAAGGTTTTTTACGGCCAAGTTGTTATTATTATTATTATTATTATTATTATTATTATTATTATATTTTATTATATTTTTATTTATTTTTTTTACATAAATAAGTTAGTTTTTAAAAAAATCGTCTAAAATGTATGGAAATTGTCCTATCTTTATATTTAAAATGATATAAAAAAAACTGTGATTAACGTACTTTTACACCACAGTTGATTAAGCAGTTTAAAGAAGATTTTTAATATTTAAAAACATCTAAAAAAAATACCTGTAGAAGATCCCTTTGAAAACATTCAATTTTAGCTTTCATACCATCGAGATTTTCGCGTAAATTTTTGATCGTTTTGTTCTCCGGCTCAGAAATTTTCTTCATTAATCCTTTGATATAGAAATGACCAAATGATTCCTCTAGCTCCTTACTGAATTTTTCTATTACTCTATCTAATTCCAAGACACTTTCTTCCTTGAGAATATACTCATCTGCCATGGTTTTATCTATATCAAGTCTTTCTGTGTCCGTAGCAGAGTAATATGATATATACGTATCTATATTCCAGCTCACACTTTTAGTTTTTAATTGTTTTATCTAAAGATTTAAGTTCCTTTTATTCATTTCCGTATAAGAGTTTAAAGTTCTTGTGGTCAGAACTTTAAATATTTGAAGTAAAAATATGTTGATTATTTTTTGCTTTTCTTATTGTACATACGATCTATTATAAATTACTGTCCACTGTTATGAAATTAGTTTTCATTTTCTATTTAATTTCTTTATAATTCATGTGAATTATTTAATTTTTAAAACGTTTTTTTTTTAATCAAAAAGTATATTTATTACAGCAAATCATCTCCGTTAACACTTCTAGTAAGTTATGAACTAAATATATGAATAAAAGATAAAATATACACAAACAAAATATTTTCGATAGGTAAAATTATCTTCCGTCTTTGAACGCGGAAGATGACTAGCTTTCAATATAATTTTTTAAGATTTTTTTTATATACTTGAACGTATAATGCACCAGCAATGTGAGTAATAGACATATTTATCTACAGGTATTCACACTGAAAGTCCACAAAACAGGAGGAAGTCTTATCATAATGATATTAACGCAATGCACTTTTTTAATCAAATACCTTATCCATTTTAATATACGTGTTATATAATAATACTGTCAAAATTCCCCCCACTGAATATTTACATTACCTAACAAAAATCAGGGCTTTGACATAGGTCTATTGATCTACCGAGGTCAATATGTGTCATTCAATAATCTTTTTCGGATATACTGAATATGATAAATGGATTTGACTAACTTTGAATTAGAACGTTCAAGACATTTTATATCAAATACAAAATAATTAGAATGCCTTTTGGTTCAAGTAGGTTAATGATTTCACAGAACTAGAAAAATTCCCCATGTCCCAGATTAGCGCGTTGCTAAATGTCATCTTTGCCGGATTATCTGACACATTTTGCAACAATTTCAAACCGCATCTTCAAATAAAATTACTAAAAGGATTTGAATCAAAATCGTATGCAGGTAATTAAGATGTATGATTAAGTACTTAGTATCAGTTGAATATTATATATAACAGTGAATTAATCTATTTCATTTAACTTCACACTCTTATAATCTCGTCTCTTATGCACTTATATTTTGACTGAATCTTTTAGATCACGTTCAAAGTACATTGTATTTTCTTTAATATCAACAAATAAATGGAGATGATTTTTGTTAAGAATACTTTGTCTACCTCATTAAAGCATTAACTTCCTTGAACATTAAAATTTTACACTACCCTGGAGTTTCGAAACATACATGTATAAATTGTCTTTCTTTTTGTTTAAAAGATATTTATTTTATCTTGATTGTGATACCGCAAAACAAGATTTTTTGGTTTCAATTTATTTTCAAGTATTAAGTTTCATGTGAATATATTTTAAAGTTATTCTCAAAATTATTAAGATAAAAGATAAAAGGTTGCATTTGGAATATTTAGCTACAAGAAAGCATGCGGATGTGCAATAGTGACATATATTCGTAAGATATTTCGTCAATGATATATGTATCAGGTGTAATAAATCTAAAATTTCAAATCTTCCTGGTTCATAAAAGTGACCTAATTTACATTACCTCTCTCTTTTTATAATCTATCGAAAGAAATTATTTGAAATATGATAAGATTATTTTTTTCTAGAGAGAGAAAGTTGATGTAAAGTGAATTGGTCTTCAATGGAAGGTCTGTAATTCCACAAATAATCATGTAGTATGTTGTAAGATATGTGATAAAAAACGAAATATATATATATACGAGGGTTGTTCAAAAAGTAATAGGACTAAGAGTCTTGCATCTTCATATTCAATTCAATTTAGAATATTTTTATATGTACAACGATCGAAAAATGTTTTCTTCATTTTAAGCATAAAATTATTGAATTCTTGTGCTTAAAGCGTGTTCCCTGTGTTATTGAATAACCATGGTAACACGCACCCGGCGCAGCACATAAAAAGTTATTGAAACAAAGTTGACCTTTTATTTTATTCATAATGTATTTTCTTTTTTTTCCCCATTTATTCCGCAAACACAATTTATTATATTTAAGTGACATTATGCCCAAATTTAACGTCATTCAGACATGAAATGGCTAAATCATCAAGTTTTGAACAGCAGTGGTCATAACGTTAAATGTGGAAATTTGACGTTCGTTAAAAACTGAAAATGTGTGCGATCGTTAAACTTTGCCAACAAATTGGCGATACTCATTCAGATACATATGAAAACATAAAATTAACACATTACAATCAATCGGCTATCAGGATACTCGTATTCAGCTTGCGCAAGCACTTCAAAAACTGCGCATACGAGATCACAAATAGAAAAGGATGAGAATGATAGCGGTAAATTGACGGGACGTTTGTGACGTCCAATGAAAAAGCGCTACAAAATGATAGACGGTAAACAGTTCACGAACTGTCCGGCATGTTTGATTTATGCATTGGGTCTATTGATTCAATTCTGCCGAAATGATTTGTTTCAAACAAAATTCTATTTCATTTAACTAGATAATATGTGTTATCAATAAATTAATGTAATAATGATTAACTGTAATTATTAATATTTTCCCCCGATTTTCTTTTAAAAATGATACGCTGTTCCTAGTAGGAAAATATACTTTTCAGTTGATAACTGTTTTTATTATTTTACTTACATAATCATATTGTTTTAAGAACGTACATATGCGTTAAATAATTCTATTAATCGCTTTTTCATTAACATCATAAGTTCATGCCTGTTTTATCTATATTGATTACTATAAGATACAAGAATACGAGAAAAAGCGGAGAGTGGCCGGCTATCAGGCCTTTTTTCTGAAGAGTGGAAAAAGAATGTGATCGTTTTCTTTCTCGCTTCGTCTCCACATATGAGGTCTGGGTAAAGTTACATGATTTAGACACCAAGAACACTAGGGAGAATTTTTTCAGAAGGGGTGACGCTTGATACATTTTGTTTTTATTTTACGACGTCATAAACGTCATTTATTCTGCTGTTAGCGTGCGCCGGGTCGCGTACCCCTTGTCATTTGAAATTTTCACAGACTCGTTATTTTTTAACATATTTTATTGGTTTATTCACTGTATTTAGAGGATATGTTCCGATATGATTATCTTGTAAAATAAAGCACGTAAATTAAAAAATGTGAAAAGGAGAACTGCTGTCCTATTACTTTTTGAACAACCCTCGTATATATATAGTATTGATGTTGTTGATAAGTGTGAGATACATGGTCCGATGCACATCTATTTATATAGCGTTTAATAAAATGTCCTAGAAAAAAATCTCAATCATATAGATGTCCGTATTTAATGTCCATTTTATACCATGCTAGAAATATTCTAAAAGAACATTTAAACTGTACATTTCTATCGTTTTGATCAAAATCTAATATACCTTATATAAATTGTGCTAATTGTAGAAAAATTCGCTTAAGTAGACGGTAGTTACTAGTAAGTTACGGATGTCGCAAACCAGGGCATGGGAGTAAGTGTAAGTTTCAAATGACATGTTTATTAATTCTCTAATAGGTTCTATTCTATTTTTTATACGATGGTATACCATGACATGAGTAAGACGAATATGACTACCTTAATTAAGCTTCCGGATTCTTTATTATGGGAAGATGGTTAAATTGATATATTTGGCTTTTTTCCAACAGTTTTACTTTTTCTGTTTATAGATTAAATATGAGATAGCTGACAATTGCGTACAAATTAAAGTCGTATTAATTCGAATTACAATATATTCTAATGTGAATATCCTTGCCGTTGGGAAAAAAACAGACCTGTCCTCGACTCCTCGGACAGCGCGCTCCATTTTTTCTTAGTGCTAAATGGTAAAAGAAAAGGAACATTATTCTGCAGACTAACCTGTTCTTGAAAATATTACAAGTTTGAAGCACAGGGACCCCTCACAGTGTTAGGATAATGTAAAAAGGTAATTCTAGACAAAATACTGTATATTATCTACCCCTAAGAATTGCATTTCAATAAGTGAATCTCTATGACACATTTTGGGAATTGTACTCGAAACAGAGAATTTCAGTCAAAAAAAAAGAATTTGTTCCTCGAAGGAGACAAAAATTAGTAAAAAGAGGGCATAAGTTTTGGAATTATCAGCTCTTAAACCCCAATCACACTAGAGCTTACGATTACTTGCGACCACCGGTGACTTGTAAAACTGACGATCATCAGCGATTGTCTGCGACCAAAACCATTTTTGCACAGATAAATTTACTTTTGCTAGTATCGTAAGACAAGTCATCATTGACAATCGCACGACAGGTCATAAGTAAACGTACGATGTTCTCAAGATTGCCTGGGATTACTTACGACTACCCGTGACATAACATGCGATCACCTACAACTTGTCGTACGACCATCACACGATTACTAAAGACTATTAAGATTATCAGTGACTAGTGGCAATTTGTAAAGACTGTCGTAAGATTGTCGCACTTCCGAACACCCATCGTGAGACAGCCTTAAGACCTTATAAGATCACTAGCGACCTGTTTGATCGCAGAGAGGTTTTTGTGCAAGCTCAAAACCTCTCTACGACTGAAATTGGTCGTGGGACCTAAATAAGATAACCTGCGATTGTCAAACATCACTGATGACCGTCGTAAGACGTTTTAAAGATTGTCCGCGACCAGAGGTCACTGGTGATCGTGAACTGGTCTTCACTGGTCGTAAGCTCTAATGTGACTGGGGCTTTAGTGTCATTTCACTTAAAATGATAAATCATTTATATGCCGATCAGAGGTATGTGAACGTAATTTTCAGTCAATTGCTGGCACAAAATATTGTATATGTACCTACGAAATCGCGAGAGAGAAAATGCAAATAGAGTACTGATTCAAGCGATATAATGACATAAATCACATGCATTCACACCAAGCTGAAAAGTTGCATCGCTTCAAAACCGCGAATCGAATGTTTGAACAAAATACGTCCTTTTGAGATACTGGGGAAAGAGAAAATTTTGCGCTTTGCTCGGCTTAAATTCGTATGAAATTGAATTTGAATAAATTGATATCGGTCTGTATATCTGTGACGCAATTTATCTGATGTCATACCCTGGTTTCTATTTTCAAGAAATAGGACTAAATTAAAATGTAGGCCAAACGTCGAACAACACACGATAATATCTAGATATATTGACATTTATTTTTAGATTTACTTCCTTGATGATGTGAAATGTTTAAAGTTGAAGATAACAGTGTAATTTTACCTATATTTACACGTTTGTAATCCCAGTCCTTTCAACGATATCTAAAAGCGAATGATAAATCATAATTGAAAATGTGTAGTTCTTTTAAATTGCAGCTTTAATTTATCCCCGATTTGGGTGATGCATTTTACTACCCGTTTTAGGTGATGCATTTTTCTTCCCGTTTTAGGTGATGCATTTTTCTTCCCGTTTTGGGTGACCGTTTTAGGTGATGCATTTTTCTTCCCGTTTTGGGTAATGCA